AACTAGAAAGGTAACCAATGCTTTATTGACGAAGACAATCGCGAAGAACTCAACTAAGTACAGGAATGAGTGTCCTTATATATCCTTCGCTTCCTACCATTTCGTATACCATTTGTGGTAGGACCGTGGTCGCGATATACCATTCTGTATACCATTCATGGTCGATAGATGGTAGGAGATCACGTGACTTCTCCTTTGAATATCAGCTAGGATCCTTGTCCCCTTCTGCATTTCCATCATAATATATCATCCAATGATTCTGCCTTGACTCCCCGCATATTCACGTGAGACTGATGTGGCTAGGTCTGTAACAGCTATAACAGTTACATCCGCAGTAAAGCAGTGCTGTAGTTCCCTCCACAATTAGGAGGTTTAAATAAGAAGACACTCGTGCAACACAGGAAAACCCCTGCATTCTTAGGGGAAAAAAAAAAAAAAAAAAAAAAAAAAAAAAAAAAAAAAAAAAAAAAAAGGGTAACATGCCACCTTTAAGACATAGGCAAAACTGTGGCCCTTCCATAGTATTTCCTTATAAAAGTCCAAGTAAAAGAAAATGCCCAAATGATTGTAAGCAACCTAAAGAAAAAGAAAAGTTTGGATCAGGCATCAACCAACCGGCTATCAACTTTCCTGCGAACTGACCCTAGTCGACGTCTCTATGCCCCGAAGCGAGCGTTGACGGATCAAGAGCCGGAACCAAAGGCAAAAAGAGGTAGCCCAAATTTTAAAAAATACACTCAAAGTGTTCCAGTATTGGATATCAAGCCGCTGCAAGGAGGTGCAACGCCGCTGCAAAAAAGAAGTGTCCAATCCATGGGAATGATATCAGGTAATATTCAAGATAAAGCAGGCAGATTTGGGACACTTTGCGCACACCAAGGATGATACATTCTTGGAGATGATAGTTAAAGATATCAAAGTTCATGGTGAAGACTGGCTATCCAAGCTCACTGCAGCTTCTCACAAGAATATTGTCACCTTCCAACAAGCGCTATATCACAATAATGTGATTTGCATCTTTTATGAAGTGCTAGATGTGTCACTTGCACAGACATTTGCAACACCATTGGGCCAGTTGAAGCATACGAAATTGCGGCTTTCTGCTGTGAAATCCTGATGGGAATCAAGTACATTCACAAAAAGCTGAAAATTGTACACGGTGACATCAATACTGAAAACATCCTCTTGTCGACAGATGGGTCTGTGAAAATAGGTATAAAACATTATAGGTGTCTATTGTCATTCTAAGCTAATATAGCCAATCAGCAAATATCGGAACTAGTATGTTGAGAGATATAAATCACAAAGAAGCCCAAAGGGATGTGCAGTCTCTAGGTCTCATCATACTTGAGTGCCTCGAACCATGCACTTCCCTTATGAAAGGAGACGCCTTGGTTATGGACGGCTGAAATCCATCTCTGGTAAAATTCCAGAAATCCACCAAGATAAAAACAGCACAAGAATTATTGCAGGTAGGTCCTTTGAAGCAACAATGTGACGGCTTGACATCTTGACGTCGCCAATACGGCTCGACACTACGTATAAGACTAATAATGACAGACGACACCGACATGAGTAGAAGTTCCAGATGCTTATAGCCCTATATATGACTCGCGCGAGAGTTAGGAACGAAACAGGTGGAGCTTGTTGAAGGAGTGATAGACAAAAAGCCTTGTTGCTCTTTTTAGAATAAATATATATCAAAAATCAGCACCCAAGAAAAACATGTCTTTTTCACGCGTCAATCGACCGATAGGGGCCTCCTGGCACCTATAAACCACCATGGAGGCACAGAGACTCCGTGGTGGTGGTATATCGCACGCGTCACACCCCGGAACGGGCAACGTGGCCTCCCAGCTCGCGGAAACACAAGATATGCCAGTTACCCCAACGCCAACCCGTTGGCGATCCGGGAACGTGATGCAGCTTGTACTTAATGATAGCAGCACAGATAGTGTGAACATGGATGAAAATGAAGGCCAGGAGCGCTGGCAACCTGGGGGCTCCAGCAGGCCCCCCGGCCGGGCCAGCGAGGCCAGAAGTGGAATCAGACAACGAAAAATTCTACAAAAGTCATTTATTGGCAAGCCAAGGCATCAAACTTCCCTGCTAAACGTGAGCAAACACGCCCAGGTGCTGGTGGGGGCTTTGGAAGCAGTCCAGACACAACAACAAGAAGTGTACCAGATGGTCCAGGAACAGGTACAGGCACACCTGGCAGAAGAGCTGTCCAACTGGAGAGCAGAGCAGCAAGTTCACGAAGGAATGTATATGGAGCGGATCACAAAGCTGGAATTGGAAGTCAGTAAGCTTCGCACAGAGCTTACAGAGGCCCGGCGCACCATCCAGCAGCCTGAACCGGTGAGGCAGAACACACCGGCAATTGATACCCAACCAAACCGGGTAAACAAACATGACGACAACCAGAACCCCAAGGTGAGGGAAGTGAGCCAACAATCAAGGCAGGAACCGAGATTTGCAGATACTAGGTAGCCTAACGACGAGAATATCGAATCTGGGGAAGAAGAAGAAAAGGAAATCTATCTAGGCGATGAACGGTCTTTATAGACATTTGTGTGGTGCGGCTTAAGCCCTTGTTTGCCCATATTGCTTGTATGGCATCGTTTGATATGTTGGCGCTGTTTGTCTGGCGTTGAGCCGTCACACAGACTGAGCATCTTGGGTTTTCCTAAGAAGGAAATAAAGGGGAGGAGGAACAAAGGAGAGAGAGAGTGGGGGAAAGAGGAAAAGGGGGGAAGCCAGAAGTGAGCCTAGTGGTTCCCAGGTTTGATGCATTTAGCATCCTAATGGCGTTTGCAGATGGTTGTATAGAAAAGTGACTTTCCCAGCCAATCTGCATATGCAGTGAATCCTGCCTTTTTGGTCAGGATGTCTGCTACTGGTTGTTGGCCCCATGGATGTGCCGCTGCTTTGCGACCCTCTCGGCAGAAATAGAAGTGGGAGGGTTCCTTTCTATGGCCGCATGAGCAGGTCAGTAAGGCATCTTCATGTTTAAAGCGCTCATGGTACTCTGCGAAGTCACCATGGCCGCTCCTGGCAGCTAGGAGGCGACCCAGAGCTGGTCGGAGAAGATGTAGCTCCGGTGGCCGCTTCTCTAGGCTTATTCCAAGGTCCCTGTATCGTTATAGTTTAGCTAGGTGACAGGCAGTTCCGATCTGCCCGTCGTATGTCCCGCACCGGGACCAGGGCTTTTCCGCTTCCGAGGCTCCCAAGGATGCGTGGAAAAGACCCGAACCTCGACGTAAAATAGAAACACACACACACCCAATCCAATCAACTATCCTTGCCCACTAAAAGCTCGCCAACGTGAGATTGGTTGCCTCAGGAGACTTATTTGCATATGAATATTCTGCCGCCATTCACCGCCTGTCCGCGCGTAGAGACACGCAGTCATAGCCGTGGCCCGTCCCGCCAAAGATCACGATCACTGGCTTACTGGAATTCGAGATCAAGAGCTGGTCTCCTCAGTAGCTCGTTTTGTCATTCTATATAAGTCCCTATTGCCCGCACCGTCATGGATCAAGTACAACCACAACAAGGCGACCTTAACTGGCGCCTCAGCGCCCATCCGATTACTCTCATATGCTTCCTGGTGTTTCGCATCGGGGCGCTTTTGATGTATTTATTCGGAGTGCTTTTTATCAAGGATTTGTACGTGCATGCCTCGTGGCCCACGGGACATGGGAAATTCCCCGAGTGAAAGTGAGCTAGTACTAACTGCGATACAGTATCCTCGTTTTCATCTTCACGCTTCTCCTCCTCTCCGCCGATTTCTACTACCTCAAAAACATCGCCGGTCGTCGCCTTGTCGGGCTCCGTTGGTGGAACGAAGTGAACGTCACATCCGGTGATTCGCACATGGTCTTCGAATCGTCCGACCCCAATACCCGCACCATTGCTGCGACGGATAAGCGGTTCTTCTGGCTTAGTCTGTACGTGGCGCCTACGCTTTGGGTGGGATTGGCGATTCTGGCGATTATCAAGTTAAGCAGTGTTATCTGGCTCAGTTTAGTGGGTAAGTTGGCTGCGGTCCGAACCGGCCTCTGGGTTCTATACGCGATGCTAACTTGTTATAGCGATTGCCCTGGTTTTGACGATTACGAACACCGTTGCCTTCTCCCGGTGCGATCGATTCAGTCAGGCTTCGACATATGCTACTAGCGCTTTTGGGGGGTCGATTGTGAATAATTTGGCGGGGGGTCTGCTGGGCAGACTCTTCAAATAAACTGTCTTTTCGCTTTTCCGGCGCAGTATGGTGGATGATCGTCATTCTTGACAGCTTGGAGGTATTGCGTTAGGGATGTACTAGTGCTGATGCGTGGGCTGGATGGATGAGCTGTACTATCTTACTATACTAACAGGAAGTCTTGTTTTAATATGAATGCACTGGATGGATTCTACTGCTTGCCACAGAATATATACTGTTGGATGTGAGTTATCTCTCTCCATGGGGGACTTCTCTACGTGCAATGACATCCTTGCGAACTTTGAGGGCAGCAGCATTTACTTTACAATTAACTGATTCAAGGCTGTCAAATTGCGAGAAATCAAATTCAAATAGTAAATTGTTGAATTTATCATATGGCCAATGAGTATTAAAAAAGAAAGCAAACAGTTCCGTCTCGTCGGTAGTCTCTCTGGACTGACATTGGTTCTTTTCTTCTGTTTGCAGGGCACCTTCCTCTCTCTCTCTCTCTCTCTCTCTCTCTCTTCTTTTCCTTCCCCTACCCTACACTCCACCGATTCTATCTCCTCACAAGCTTTCCATCTACATTTTCCATTGATGTGAATTGATCGTTGCAATCTCAAGTGTTTACTTCGTGTCAATATCCTCAGGGCTTCTCGAGGCCATCGGGATTGCAAGGTACCCTATACGCCCATGCCACATACTTTCTCATCTAATTCCTCCTAGGTCATACGTCGAACTGCAACATCATGTCGATCAAACGAAGAAGACGCCTTTCAAACAACAGCCGATGGACAGAGGAGGAAAGGAACAATCTCTGGCGCCTGCGTCAACAGAACCTGGGGATCAATTGGGAGGAGTTCAACGATGTGAGTCGTTTGTCCATCCTCTTTCTGTTTCTCTGGACTTGTCTTCTGACTGTTCAAGCGCTTCTTTCCTCTTCGTACCAAGGCGGCTCTCACGAAGGCTTATTCGGTGAGTTGACTGAGCTACATCTGTGGTTATGGTGGCTTACTTACTCTTCTTAAGGATTTGAAAATACAACGCACGTCCAGCAACTCCAATGACGTTTCCCAAAACAACAAACGCAAGAACCCCGCCGGAGAGGCGATGAAGCCGAAACGACGACTGAGCGCTTTTGTTGTGTCCGATGAAGAGTCCAAATCTGTCTCACTGACAGAAGAGAGTGATATTGGAGACAGTGATACCGAAGATTCTGACGCTGGAGATATCCCTTACGACGATGGTTTGTCGAGACAGACAGTAAGTTGGCCCTTTTGCTGCTGTACCTGAGTCTACGGCTAATGTTGGTCACTCTAGCTCTATAGACCACCACCCTCGAACCCCCCCAATCGTAACTCCAGCGCTCTCTCGATCGTGAAGGCTCCCCGGTTCACCGCTAAAAGAACGGGTCCCAGTCGTCTTCCAGCAGCAAAGTCGACGAATCCCGCGATAAGGCCCGTCAAAGTCCAGAACTCATCTAACGGCGGTACTGCGGCTGCTCCATCTGCCACTAGGACTAAACGTACTCAGATCCTACCGGCCAATTCAAAACCGACTCATGGTCCTGGACCACAACCCACATCTACCAAGAGCACGAATCAACCTGCTGCGGACGCTGCACCAGATGTCACTGATGAATCATACACACTGCTCTCCCGAAGCTTCCACTATGCAGCCAATATCTTCGCACAGTATCCGCAGGTGACAGCTCGAGCAGAGAAAGCAGAGAAAGAAAACGCAGAGAAAGACAGACTCATCAAAGAGCTGCAGTCGTCACACGAAGCCGAAGTGTCTGAGTTGCGAGATCGCTTGGTCACTCAGAATAAGATGCTGAGTGAGCAGGTAGCTGTGATTGAACGCTTCCAGATGCGACTCAAGGCAAGTGAAAACCAAGCAAGTCATGTTCAGAATCTGGAACGCGAGTTGGCAGGATTGAAAAGGGACCTTTACTCCGAAGCTCAAGATTGAAAGCCTCTACAGGGAAGACTAATACGTATTATACTAAGCAACACACCTTATTTCACGCTATATATCACGATTTATATGTCAATATATATCATTTGTTTTTAAGTTTAGATTATTTAATGAAAGATTGAAGATTGTTTCTCTACTGTCCGGGTTCTCATGTATTTATATAGACTGCTACGCAAAGCAAACTCTGTGGACTGAAGATGATGACCATGGGGTTTAACACGAAACGATCACAAGTGACATGAATCCTTCATTATCGAAATGATTCCACATGTAATTCTTTGCGGGGAAGTTTTTTTTTTGCTTTTTTCGTTGTTTTCATCAACGTCCGTTTGTCGGGTGTTTGTATGGATTGAATTTGTATTCTCGAACCTTTTACATTCTCGTTTTTTGTACAAAACGAATGAAATCGCCTATAGAAGAATAGCAATAAGAGAAACAATGAGAGCACTTAATACGAAGTTTCACTTGCAGAAGAACGCAGAGAACTAGAGTACATTTCGCTGCGGGAAGCTCAGATAGGGCTGCATCCGTACAGCGCAGAAAACCAAGCAGCTCAACTATCGTGTGTATGGAACAATTCTACACAAGCAATAAAGAATTCTACTTTGTCAAGCCACATGGGTATATTCAGGCAAGTTGCAGATAATCTTCAATGGCATTGACACCCGCAACGCCAACCTCCCGTGGGGAGCAAATGAATCATTCACTGCTGGACCTCCATTTTTTCTCCCTCCACTTTTATGTGTTTATTTTCTTTTCTCTTTCTTCTTCTTCTTCTTTTTCTTCTTCTTCTTCCCTCTTCCATCTCTCTTCATCCTCCACCCCACCTTTCCCCTTTTTCTTTTCCCTCCTTCTCTATCCCCCGCGAGAGACCTCTTTCTCATTCTCAAAGAGCAGGACGTTTGGTCTCTGCTTGCTACTGGTAATTGAGCTTCTCTTTTTATTCTTTTCGAGCACGAGAGGGGCTGGAAATTGAGCTCAGTCTCGTTTCCAGCGCTTTTCGAATTCACTCGCGCCCAAGAACACGTCAATTCCACTGCCTGGTTTTCTCTCTGTTTCTTTCTTCTTCTCGTGTCTTTTCCTTTCTTCTTCCTCTTCGTCTTCTCCAGTTCTCCAAACTGACACTTTTGCGTCTTGATACTTAGAAAACCTGAATTCCCATCCTTTCTTCGATCGTTTCTAAGAAAACACACATCCCCAAGATGTCTGTATGGGGATCCGGCGAGGCAGCCGGTGCCTGGGACTCCGGTGCGTGCAGATCCTGGTCATCTAGAGCCGTCTGACACGAACAACACGCGTCTCTTCTACGTGCTCTCGTGCCCCCAAAGACTTTGTCCTCCTCTTGGCCGTCGTCTTACTGACAGTGTCTAGGTGACGCCGGCTTCGGTGGCGAAGACAACTTCAACAGCAACGGCTTCGATGGCGGTGATAGTGGATTTGATGCCGCTGGTGACGGTGGCGCGGGAGGTGATAACAATTGCCGCAAGTAAGTTCCTGTACTGTTCCTCGTCTGTACTCAGCTAATAAAATCAAACAGCTGTGGTGGTGAGGGCCACTTTGCCCGCGAGTGTCCTGAGCCTCGTAAGATGGGCGCTTGCTTCAACTGCGGTGAAGAAGGGTAAGTGGCCTGTCTGTCTGCTCAAATATTCACGGTTACTGAGCAGCATTACAGTCACAGCAAGGTCGACTGTCCTCAGCCTCGCAAGAGCGGAGCTTGCTTCAACTGTGGCGAAGAAGGGTAAGTGACACCTTGTCTGCTTGTTTCTTCACAGTTGCTGAGCATCACAACAGTCATAGCAAGGCCGAATGTACCAAGCCTCGCGTGTTCAAGGGACCCTGCCGTATCTGCGAGAAGGAAGGACATCCCGCTGCCGAGTGCCCTGAACGGCCTCCTGACGTGTGCAAGAACTGTAAACAAGAGGGTAGGTGCTTGGAGCAATGTGGCTTTGATAAATATAAGACTAACTTCCTCGACAGGCCACAGGACTATGGAGTGCACGGAGAACCGCAAATTCGATTTAAACGGTATTCCGGACAAGCTCCCCGAAGAGGCGTGGGCTGCAATGAAGGCGGCTAGTGACGATAAGGATTTGGGAGAGTTTCGCGAGGTAAGTCAAATGTTCTTCTCGCTTGTTTATGTCCAGTTTAGATTTGATTGACCGTAAACAGGCTTTCAAGGTCTACTCCAAGGCGGCTCCCCAGGCCACCCTTGTGGACATCGAGAAGAAAATGCGTGAAGAGGATTTCAACATTTACCTCATCGCTATGGTTAGTTGCCAATCATATCCTATTGCTCTCTCGGAAGAATAGTACTGATTCGTGGCACAGGAGAAACCGATCGGCGATATTATGTGCCTGATTAGCCTTCAGGGTAAGCTGAACTGCAAGTATGTGGTCGGCTTCTACTACAACCCGAAGCCACAGCGAGCGGCACTCCGTGAGCGTTGGCCCGCCTCTACCGAGGACAACCTGGCCCGTCTTGAGGACGCTGGTCTCCCTTACGATCGTCAGATCCCGAAATGTATCAACTGTGGTGGTAAGCAAACAAGCGTACCCAATGAAGAAAAACGATGACGAAAGATGCTGATACGGACAAATAAGAAATGGGTCACATTTCGCGCAGCTGCAAGGAAGAGCGTACTGAGCGCGAGCGAGTCGAGGTGAAGTGTGTCAACTGTAGTGCCGTCGGCCACCGTGCCCGTGACTGCCCCGATCCGCGTCGCGATAAGTTCGCTTGCCGTAACTGCGGGTAAGTTACTTGTCCTATAGCAGACGCCCGTGCTACATCACGTATGCAGAGTTGCTAATAACGCACAGGTCTCCCGAGCACAAGGCGTCGGAGTGCCCTAACCCTCGTACGGCCGAAGGAGTCGAATGCCGACGCTGCAATGAGAGTAAGCCGGAACTTTGACATGCTTCTTTACACCGTCCATGGTACTAATAACCTTGTTTACTAGCCGGACACTTTGCAAAGGATTGTCCTCAGGCCAGTGCGCCCCGGACCTGCCGCAACTGTGGGTAAGTGTCGTGTGTCACCTATGAGCGATGACGAAAGAGCACTCCCTAAACTGACCGGGCACAGATCGGAGGACCACATGGCGAGAGACTGCGATAAGCCGCGCGACGTTTCCACTGTGACGTGCCGCAACTGCGATGAGGTCGGTCACTTCAGCACTGACTGCCCGAAGCCACGCGATTATTCCAGGGTCAAATGCAACAACTGTGGTGAGAGTAAGTGTTTATTGGTCCCTGCATTCTATCAGAAAAAGGAAAAAAGACCAGAGCTGACCACGGAATAATGTAGTGGGCCACACGATACGCCGGTGCCCCGCCGAGAACTCGGAAGAGTCTGACTTGATGGGCGGCACGGACAACTACAACAACGGAGGCGATGACGTTGGCGCTGATGCTGGCGGCGGATGGGGTGCTTCCGAAGAAGCGGCCGGCTGGGAAAAAAAAAAAAAAAAAAAAAAAAAAAAAAAAAAAACCATGACTCGTTTCTTCTCCCCGCGACAAATGCCGGAACTTGGAACGGCTTCAGCCGTGTGGGAGGGGGAAGAGAGAGAGCAAAGAAACGCCACTGAAGCGAAACGAACGGAGGACTTCCGTTGGCTGGCTCGCTCTTCCCTGCGAAATACGGAATAATTCCAAGTATACCTGGCTTGGTACTACTACGACTCTGGGACTTTTTTTTTTTCGTTCGTTTTTCGTTACTTGTTTTGTTCTTTTGTTGCATTTGGTCGAACGGGGGAGCCGGCAGTCGGAGGGATTTCTCTTTCTCTTTTTCTTAGTATGATTTTCTTTTTCTCGGACGGAACTGGGATGAACGGTCGGTAACGGGGACCTAACACGGGATTAGGATCCTGTTCAACGACGGTTTGACCTGTCTGTGTGGTTGATGGAGGGAGGGGGAAGGACAACCCCGTTTCGCTAGCTCGTGAAGATTGACCAGCGTGCAATAATACTGAATAAAAGTTGTCTATTTGATGCTATTCGCTAGGATGTAACCGTGTAGATGTAGCATGATGGAAAGGGTGTAGTAGTGGAGTAGGCTCGGGAGTCTCCGAATGCGTACGCGAGCCGAGGAAGGGAAAATACGGGGAAGAGGGGTCGTGCCCACTACTACTTAGCGATGTCGTTTTGGGGTACGATACCTTGGATACGAGAACAAGGTCACATTCAACACTTGCAAGTATAAAGAGTGCGTGATAGTAGATGTCAAGGTGGTAATCAGGGGGATTATGCTTCTAGAAGGCTGTGTGCTGCGTAAGATTTCGCCGCTGTACGACTCGTGCCTATCCGGGGGATTCTGACTCTTCCGGGATACCAGAATAGGTAAGCCGAGAGACATGGATCCTTGGAGAGTTGGATGTTTGGGTTAATTAATTGGGTATGGTATGACTTGGGGTGTGAGGATGTGGCCCTTGGGATGGTTTGTGATTTTGAATTCCTTCTTTGTATACTATGTAAAAATAAATTCTGCATTTTAATGTATGCTATTATCCATACAGATATACAGGTATGTAGACTAAATACATTGTATACGAAGAGTAGAGACATACAATTACTCCGTGGATATCCCCAGATTCTTCTCCAGATCTCCTTATGGCCCACAAAAATGACCGCATCCGCTCACTCCACACTCTCCGCAAGCACGTGAGTTCCCCGGACGTCATCTAGTTAGTGTAGTGGTATCCAGAAGTGAGAGATTATACAAAAAAAGGCAAAATAGGCTAAAATGTCGGCTGCTCTCCGATCGGCATATCCCAAATAGGACAAGCCTGGAAAGATGCATACAAGGCTTCATAAAACCAGCGGCGCCTCTTCGTCGCATATTCGCTTGCTTGCTTTCTTTTTCTCACTCACTGTTCTCCTTTTCCTTGCCAATCCCTTATTCTTATGTCTCTCATGACGCTCAATTCTTTATAGTATACACTTTGATGAATCCTCAATATTCTCCGGCACTACACATCGACTAATTCATTATGGGCGGTGGTCAATACTTGGGTCTGAAGGGCAATGCCCTCCAGATTGCCATTGGTGTTATTGCCGGCATGGATTTTTTGCTCTTTGGTTACGATCAGGGTGTGACCGGTGGTTTGTTGAATCTGGAGTCGTTCATCAGCGTCTTTCCTTCTATCGCAACCACCGGAGCCGAGTATGGGGATCTTTCTGGTCCGGAGAAGAGCGCTCGCTCGACGGAGCAGGGCAAGTCTCTTTTCCACCATTCTAACAAGCAAATTGCTAACTGGGAGGTATTCTATAGGAATCGTTGTCGCCGCTTATAACTTGGGATGTTTCGCCGGTTCAATCCCCACAATCTGGATCGGAAATTGGCTTGGACGGCGCAAGACCATCTTCCTCGGTTCGTTTATCATGGTTATCGGCGCGATTCTACAGTGTACCGCCTACCATCTGCCTCAGTTAATCGTTGGTCGTATTGTCACCGGTCTCGGTATGTCGCCGGCTTCCTCGTATCGTCTTCCGCAAACAAGGCTAATAGTGTAGGAAATGGAATGAATACATCTACCGTGCCAACATGGCAATCCGAATGCTGCAAGTCCAACCGTCGCGGTCAAATGGTCATGATCGAAGGCGCCATGATCACCCTGGGTATCACCATCAGTTACTGGATCGACTTTGGTCTTCTCTTCGCCGACCCGAACCCCGTGGCCTGGCGCTTCCCGCTGGCCTTCCAGATCTTCTTCGCCCTTATCATTCTGGCGTTTGTCATGTTCCTTCCTGAGTCGCCTCGCTGGCTCGTGCTCAGTGGCCGCGAACATGATGCTCAGGAGGTACTCACGGCGTTGTTGGATGATACCCCAGACTCGACCCTGGTACAGAACGAGCTCATTGCCATCAAGGCTACCGTCCTTGAGATGTCCAAGGGCTCGTTTAGCGACATGTTTACCATGACCGAAGACCGTCATTTACATCGTACCATGTTGGCCTACGTCAATCAGATGTTCCAGCAAATCTCAGGGATCAACCTGATTACCTACTATATCCCCAAACTACTCGAGGACCAAGTCGGAATGGATCCAGTTACATCCCGCTTAATCTCCGCCTGTAACGGCACTGAATACTTCCTCGCCTCCCTAATCGCCATCTTCACCATTGAGAAATTCGGACGTCGCACGCTCATGCTTTTCGGTGCTGCCGGGATGTCCCTTTCCATGGTCGTCCTCGCCATCACCTCATCCATCGCCAATACCCCGGCGAACATCGTCTGCTGTGTGTTCCTGTTTGTCTTTAACACCTTCTTCGGTATCGGTTGGCTTGGTATGACCTGGCTATACCCGGCAGAAATCGTGCCGCTAAAGATTCGTGCTCCGGCCAACGCATTGGCGACTTCGTCCAATTGGATCTTCAACTTCCTCGTTGTCATGATTACTCCAGTGGCTTTTGACAACATTGGTTACCAGACCTATATAATTTTCGCAGTCATGTAAGTCCATGCCCTCACTTATAGACTCTATATCCATACTAACTCAACCAGCAACGCCTTCATCTTCCCCGTCACCTACTTCTTCTACCCCGAAACCACCCGCCGCTCCCTCGAAGAAATGGACCGCATCTTCCGCAAAACCACCAGCGTCTTCAATCTCGTCCGCACCGCCCGCGATGAACCACACATGTACGGCAAGAAAGGCGAGCTCCTCCACACCGTCGACGACGTCGAAGATGCTGCCGTACACGCCGCGCGCCAAGTCAGCATCGCTGGTGGGACGCACAAGGAGCACCGCGAACATATCGAGAATGAGAAGTTTGAGGGAGATGGTAGTTCGGATCGTTCATAAACGGGTTGTTTTTTTTTTTTTTTTTTTGCTGCTATGTTTGGATGTGATGTTTTACGAGACCCATGTTTTTATTACTGGATTGGTTATGGTGGTCTTTTGGGACGTATATAGCTGGATATTTGGTGTTTGTTATAAATATACCTATTTGATTGTGCAATTTTGGGCTTGGGTGTTTCATTGCATGCATAGACTCCGACTTGGTGAAGATGCTGGTTGCGATTTGAGCTATTCACAGCAGTGTATACAGAGTAAATTAAATGTTTACTGCTCAAGAATAGACTCCAGGGAGATTATTCCAAATCAATCGCACTCAATCTTCCTCCATAAAGCCGCTTTCTCGCCAATGGTATTGTGGTGGAATCATCAACCAAATACCACCGACATGCTACATGGCGCCTGATTTATGAGACAACATGGCACCAGGGAATATCACAGTGGACTAGGGCTACCCAGTCCCTTATACTAGAGATTGAGAGGCCTTGTGGGACCCGGTACTTCATCAACAGGGACCAGAGACCTCTATGAGTATGTATTGCTAAGTTCCTTTTTGGCATGACCTTAGCTAATATTCAGATAGGGGGAGCTCGTTCGTGCTCTTGGAAAGATGTCCGTTTGTCTTCTCTGCGCAATTATCTAGCAAGAACTCTTTCACCCACAATATGAATCAATACGCTTCCAATTGAACGAGATAAATAACCATTATTATCGACCTTAAGCCGTATAAATGGCATACGAACCATTATGGTGCTCACTGGCTTCTCAGAATAAACGCCGTCGATCACCTTTATCATGTCAATGTCGTGGCTTACTTTAACGCGGACAAGGCGTTGCTTATAATGTCCGAACGTTTACACAAGCCATACGAAGCCCTCATAAGATGGCGACAACTCACTCCACCAGACAAGAGGCAATGGACATGTATAATCCGCTAGATATGCTGCATGCTATGGCTTGCATATTTAAAACAATGAGGGTACGAGTAGCCCCGGGAAGCGTGACCCTAAAGCCACGTTTTCCCGGGTCTACGGAGGGCCCGGACAATACTTTCAGATCAAATATCACGTTTTCGACATCATAGAAGCAGACACAACTTATCGAAGGTCTGTTAAATAGGTGGAAGCGCAACTGGTGTCATTCCATTTATACTTTCGGACCGCCCCTGAACATCCACGAAAGCCTGCGTTCCGATATAGTTTGCAGTCAATGACTACGAGTCAGTCCCAGACTTAACTTTCTCGCAACACAAACGACGCTCATGCCGAGGAATATGATATAAAACACTCATGAGGTAGCCACTGAAAATTACAAAGAATGCGCACATCGAAATGATGGAAATAAAGCCACGCAGTCAGCTAAATATACTGAGTTCATGGCTTTGCCATTGCATGACACAAGCATCCTAGTACCGGAGGCTTTCGGGACAAACGCCCTCGAAATTGCGCTATTCGTCAGTGAAACTAGTGGCAGATCATCTTTCGCGAATGGATTCGACGTTCACGGTCATCGAAATTACATTGTGGGAACTATGCGCGGCCAAACGCGAGATTCCTATTGCCCTCAAGAGGCCCGGAAGATGGCCATTTTGAACATTCCACTTATTACCCCGACGCTGAGGCGAAATGTGTTAGGCATTAATGATAGTAATTTATTGCCTTCATTTAACCAAAATGTCTACGATGATCCTAGACGGACTAGCTACGGGTTGTTTAATCCATTTGTACAGTGCAACAGTTATGGCATTTATCCAAGAATAGAACCCTCAACATAACCGGTCACTGCCTTCACTCTGTAGCTATAGATATCTGTATCTACTCAAGTGCATAACATTTGCTCAACGTTCACCAACCCCCGTTCAGCTCACCTTCGACCAATTCGTTCCAGTTTCCAAAAACAAATGTAAAAATAAATAAATAAAATAAAAAATTTATAAAAAAAATGGACTCGCGGGGAATCGAACCCCGGACCACCCCCATGCTAAGGGGGTATTATACCACTAAACCACAAGCCCATATATACTTTGCTCTCCCGGGCTAAGAATATATGAGGCAGGATAGTCAGCCTCAGGCAGAATCAATATAGCCGAATCCGGCATAGTTCCCGAGGACACCCTCAGTAGAACCAGTTCAAATCCAAGGACAGTTCAGTTCGCATACAATCATGGATCAATACTTTCACATAATCATTACCAAATAAATATCTTCCTGTTGCAATGATACAATCACATCCACAGTGAACCCGCCGACATCGGACGAACGGTCTACCACACCGTGAGTCATTAACTCAATCGGCTCAGCTCGGGGAATTCAGCTTTAGCGCGGAAAAATCAACAGTTGAGCCGATGATAGCCACTGTGGAGCGTTAGGACTGATTGATTGATATGATCTCGGTGATAGCCTCAGGAAAAGAACGACAGCCAAGATGATATGATTCTGGATTTGCGGAAGTTATTCTCCGGAGTCGATTTTGGGAGCCGGTCAGACTAGTCTGCTAGTCTGGTGTTTTTGCGCCGGTTAATTGGACTTCTGCAGATTTCTGCAGGTTGGTTCTTCTCAATTAATATCAACCTCTCGATCCTCAGTGCTGACAGCTGTGCTATAGTACAGCGAACATGGCAGACCATCAAGACACCAAAGACATCACCAATGTCACCACACAACCCCCCGAGGATCCCGCGCACGCGGAAACCGGCGATGAGCCGGACGTCGCCAGCATCGAGCGCATCTACCGGTACCTCACTTCCCTCACCAAGCTATACCAGAAGCATAGCTAACATGCCAAAGAAAACTAGACTACCGCATAATCCCCCCCTTTTGGATCCTCTACTTCCTCTGCTCCGCAATCCGCTCCAACGTCGGCCTCGCGCAGACCATGAACGAAGATGCCGGACACGACCTGGGCACTGTGTTGAATGCGACACCGCACCAGATCTCGACCGGTCTCGCGCTGTTCTACGTGTGCTATGTGGTGTTTGATCTGCCGTCGAATCTGATCATGACGAGACTCAGTCCGCATGTCTGGATGAGTCGGATTGTCGTTAGTGTGGGCGTTATTGGGGCTTGTATGGCTGCTATGAAGGCGGCTTGGAGTTTATAGTACCACCCCCTTTGTTCCCTGTGTAAGATGAAAAAGTGCTAATGGGTAGTCTCCTCCGCCTCCTCCTCGGAATCGTCGAAGCAGGCCTCTGGCCCGGCATGTCCTACTACCTAACCCTCTTCTACCCGCCCTCGCGAACCGGAAAGCGCATCGGCCAGTACTACACCGCAGCGCAAATCTCCGCCGCAGTCGTGGGCCTCGTCTCAGCAGGCTTCCAGGGCATGGACGGCGACCGCGGCCTAGTAGGCTTCCAATGGATGTTCCTCATCTACGGGCTCGTCACGGTCGTCGTGGGATTCGTCCTGCTCTGGTGGCTACCCGATCGACCAGTCGCCCCCGGATCCCCCGAACAAGAAAAAACGAAGTACTTCGGGGTGATCCCCCGCAGTTCCCCCGCGCTCTCTGGCGCAGATGCCCTAGCCCACTACCACGACCTGCGTCGCGTATATCACCGTCCGCGCTGGACAATGCGCGACCTCCTCCACGTCTTTCTCGACTGGCGTCTCTGGCCGCTACTCATAATGTACTTTGGCGTCGTGGGCGTGGGCATCGGAGTGCAGAACTACAGCACCATCATCATCCAAGCAACCAACCCCTCCCTCTCATCGGTCGATCTATCTCTGCTCTCAGCACCGATTTGGTTAATGGATCTTCTCGCTATTTTACTGATCACGCCTATTTCGGATCGATTCCATCGCCATCGTGCGCTGTTTTTCTCGGGACCGGTTGTGTTGCAGATTCTCGGACTGCTGCTTATGACATATGCCGGGTCTGATGCAAAGCCATGGCCCCGGTATGGTGGGCTGTTGATTGTGGGTTTTGGACTTGGTCCTACTGTGCCTATTACTATGACTTGGACGAATGAGCTTTTCCAGCCTAGACATGGGGAGGTTGGTGTTGCGGCGGCTTCCGCTGTGGTGTCTGGATGGGGGAACTTGGGGAGTATCCTGACGACCTATGCGTTGTATACCGGTTGGAAGTCGGATGCTGAGGCGCCGGGGATGGCCAAGTATCGCAAGAGTAACTTGGTCATGGTCGGTATCCTGTGTGGCAGCATTCTGGCTGCCTTCTTGATGCAGTTCTTGGTCTGGTTCGTGGACCGGAAGAACCCTGCCTCTGCAACCACCGGCCAAGATGACATTGTCGACGGCGCTGCGCGTCGAGAAGCCGATCAGAGAGGACTCCACGGTCTGGGGTCGAGTCTCACCAAAATCCTACCAAAGAAATAGACTAGAATAATGCACCATAATACTGATAGCCATATAATCCAGTTGATTATGCCAGAGCCCAATTATCCCTATAACGATTGTACAGTACATTTCTACTAAAACAGTATGCCATCCGGCTTTTTGTTTCCCAATTCCCATTGTATCAATGCTCCTCCAACCTGATCCTGTGCAAAACGACGGTGCCTCCAATATCACCCCGTAGCACTAATCAAAGATCTATGCTATTGAACGTAACACATAACCCACGAAAACGACAGACAACGAAAATAATTAATGCATATGCGGGTCAACGAACGCAAAAGGCAAGCTCTGGCACCCCGGTCGAAAAGGAAAGGAAAAAAGAACACCGAGAGGAAATCTGCCATGAAGTATATTGCCAGGCTGCACTTCTGAGTCCCGCTCTGTTGACACCGGAGGGTATACGAGCGCTAAGACGAAATGCCAATGTTTTTGGAAGTGATCTAGTTGCCACCGCAGAGCTGTTCAAGTTAGTCATGTGAACCTCAACCCAGATATCAAAGGAAGACTTACAGTCTCGACGATGATACCAGTGATCTGGTAAGGATCAGCGTTACTGGCGGGACGGCGGTCCTCGAAGTAACCCTTGCCATCCTTGGCGCACTGGCGGGGAATACGAATGCTGCCACCACGGTTGGCAACACCGTAGCTGAATTTGTCGATGTTACCGGTCTCGTGACGACCAGTGAGACGCTCTTCGTTACCCTCACCGTAGACGGCAATGTGCTCAACGTGACGGGCCTCGAGCTTTTTCATGGCGGCTTCGATGACCTTCATACCACCGTCGTCACGCATCGAGGCTGTCGAGACGTTGGTGTGAAGACCGGCACCGTTCCACTCACCCTTGACGGGCTTGGGCTCGAACGAGATCTTGACGCCGAACTCTTCAGCGACACGGTGGAGGAAGAAACGGGACATCCAGAGGTGGTCACCCACTGTTTCAAGTTAGCATGACTTCAATATTAAATGTAAATGCATAAGAAACTCACTCTCAATGCCATTGCAAGGTCCAACTTGGTACTCCCATTGCGAAGGCATGACCTCAGCGTTGATACCGGAGATCTTGACACCGGCGTACAAGCAAGCACGGAAGTGAGCCTCGACGATGTCACGGCAGTAGACCTTGCCCGTACCAACACCGCAGTAGTAAGGACCCTGGGCACCGGGGAAACCGCCCTTGGGCCATCCGTACGGCCAGCCGTCGGTACCAAGCAGGGTGTATTCCTGTTCCAGACCGAACCACCAGTCTTCCTTGGAGTGGGCTTCCATCAGGCGGTTGGCTTCGTGGCGGTAGTTGAACTTGTTGGGAGTACCATCCGAATCCCAGGTTTCACAGAGGACGAGGATGTTGTCGCCACGGCGGAAGGGATCGGGGAAGAAAGCAACGGGGCGGAGGTAGACATCGGAGTTGTCACCACCAGCCTGGCCGGTTGACGAACCATCGAAGTTCCATTCGGGAAGCTCATCGACAGAGGTGATGGGTTTCGAGAGGGTCTAAGAGACGTGCCAGAACGCGTTAGTAAAGGTCACGTGAGCGGATAGCTGCAGGTGGCGACGCATGGACGTTTAGCTGCATCCGGGATGACCGTGCACAGACGATCGAGATAGCAGATAGCAGTGTAGCGTCCATTTGTCCCACCACAGCGACGAAAAGAGATAGCATACCTTGGTTTTGCAACGGCAACCACCGGTGGCGTCAATCCAGACGTACTCTGCTTGGATGTGACCCCTCTGGGGGAGGTCCATATATTTCATGAGCTGTATCCAGCACGAAGCCAGTCAGTATAGGATGTTTTTTTTTTTTTTTTGGATACTTCCTCGAAAGGAAGTACTCAGGTAGTCAAACGCACGTTATCCGTGTTGGAGATAACGGTCGAAGTTTCAGCCTGTGGTGCGAAGAGCAGATGAGTCAGTCTGGGATTCAGAGTCGACACAGGTCAAGAAGAGAGAAGCAACCATACCATGATGACAGATGATCTTTGGTGATCTCTTGGGAAAAGAGTAGAAATTGGATATATCGTAGACAAGCCAAGGGAGCTCAGTGACTCAGTAGTATTCCAGGTGGGTTAATCTTCACGAGGAACGAAAAGCGACAGTAAAACTGCGGGAGCAAAGATCCAAAAGATGGAATAATATTGAACTGGATCTTCAGAAGGCGAGAGACGAAAGAAAGGGAAGATGGAGGATAAAATAGAGATTGGGACGGGAGAGGAGATATATGGAGAAAGAAGAGCGAGAGAGGATGAAGAAGTAGAAGTGGAAGCTGAGGTTGAGTGGAGGAGGGCGAGGGATTAAATTAATATTCTTTTTTTTTTTTTTTTTTTTTTTTTTTTTCCGCGCAGGGAAAGAGACAAAAGAATTCTGGGAGGGGCGAATTCTTCGGCTGTGGGTGGTAAATTACGGTACTGTACCGTAACCACCGATCGTGATTTCCGCTTTTTTTTTTTCGGATACGGTCGACGATTCCGCCGTTATCATGATGACTTGTTAGTATTCTACTACTATACCAAAACAAGATCAGAATTCTATATTCGTAGCTTGTCTGCATTTTTAGATACCTAAAATTATGCACCGATGTAGTATACTACGGTTGTACTCTGTAGTAAAACACAGGATATCCCTCATACTGTAATACCCAGTACGAGACAGTTGGCTGCCCAATGACAGGACGCTTTCCGAATCAGGTAAAATCGGTGCAAAAAATGACTCCCCCTTTCTGCATCTAAAGCATGGTACAGTTAGTATGTGCAGATGTATTCGCAGAGCATGCACAATAGGGCATGAAGATGCATGGTCTGGATCAATCTCGACAATCAATAATAAACAAATACATACTCTGTAGTACTAGCCAATGCGTATCCAGAGCAAGAAAAACTATGGCCGATGAATTATGGAATGCAGCCAGCCACACATGTCAACATTTAATTCTCCGTGATATGAGGCATCTTGTGACCCATCCCCAGTGCATATCAATAATTTAGTTTATAAAGCGCAATAGATATCAATACGAGATTGCTAAAACGTGTTATCAACCGCTGAACTCTCTTCTTCCTGGTCATTACATCAATGTCCGTCCTGGTGTGTCTATGACTCCATACGATTGGCGACAAGGGCCCTCGTGCCTAGAGTCGTGGGCGTGGATTCGTATCCTGAGTATGCACTCGATGCAAGTACAAAATATATTCGAGTGGATGTTGCTTTTTGATACCACCCTGGATAAGCGCGGTGAATTTGTTTACAGATTGATTAATAGCGTACAGATATTGGCCTTATGTATCTGTTTCTGTACAAGTACCTGATCTGTACGATCTTTGAACATACTGCGATATGTATACAGGACTACGTTCCTGGCGTACCTGGCACTTCTCATGGCAGGGATCCCTTATCGCATCCTTTAATCCCGCGATGACGCTTCATATCAATCGAGATATGCAGAATACGAGAATGGCTTCTTTGATAGAACATATCATTCTAGAACACGTCAGTTGTGCACTCGACATATACACCGTACATAGCACAAGTAGTCATGGCTAGCGAGCGCGCATAGTTCTGTATCGATAGATGGAGATCATTTCCCCATAAAATACATGTATTGTAATATGAATATACCACCCGCCCAAGAGTGGGTCGTGGCAAAAAGGTGTTCTCGAAAAGGCGCTGCCGGTGGACGGTGGTCCCGACACCGGCCTACGCACTAGGGTGAAACTCGGTATGACAATACAGCACCGCCTCGATAACCCATCTCAATGTATTCTGGGCGTACGGAGTCTTGGGACCGATTGTAGAACTGGGGATTTGACAAGATTTACCCCGGATCGGGAGGCAACAAATGAAAGAGCAGTAAAGTCGGGTGATTCAGGAAGAATCTAGAGGCTATTGATGAAAAGTCGGGGAAGGAGGGTTGGAGAAGAAAGTTCCGTTCAGCCCTGTGATTGCAGATAATTAATGCCATTCCTCCGTGCAAGCTACTTGATACGGGGTTTTACTCCGTCGAAATGATATCAAAAATATCATGTGCGCGCAATTCTGATACAGAGCAATACAAAAATTTGTACAAAGTACATGTATTCTATAGCCCACAGTTAGTCACAACCAGAATATCTGATACAAATATCCAAATATATCCGGTGTAAAACGACGTTTGCGGTAAGAATAGCAACAGGTGTGTGGCTGGGCTCCGCAACGCCTCTTTAGCCAGATCCGGTTAGTAGTATCCACGCGTTGTAAGAGTGGTACAGTTGAGTACATGTGACTTCTCAATATCAAACACAAAGAATTCTTTCTCTACGCATATCAGATGTATCAAGAGCAAACTTTACGCATGAAAGAATAAAAAGAATCAATACATATCTTACAAACAATCCATCGGAATACGCAGTTTACACCTGTATTCTATATCTGGCAAAATCCCTCACCGCATAACAGAAAAAACCTTGCCAATTCTAAACGCTCCAATAGAAACCCTTCAAACGCGGCCATTAAATCATTCGAACCAGCGCTGAATCATCCATTCCTTCCTGCGACAACCTTCCCAATAGTGTATCGGTGTTCTCATTGGTTCCCGACAAAAAGACGCGCCCCTGGTTGCTCCACACAAAGGCCGCCTTTTTATCGGCGGCCATTTATTGGTTCGCTCGGGGTTCCATGACAAATGATGGGGCCGCACTGTAGTAAGGGAATTGATAAGGGCTGCATTTGAAGCTGAATGAGTCTTTTTTTCTGGGTTTATTGCTTTGTCTGTGTGCTTGTGATCCATATTGATATGATGGGATTGGGATTGAATGATTAATGGACATGGATTGATTGGATTGATTGGATTGATAGTGGCTCAGCTGAGACTTCTTATCAATATAGATCAACTACGGCACTCAAATGCGGTTATGATAGCGGAGTACGGGATATAGAAAACTCCGTTACAAGACAACTGACTCGAGCACGGTCAGAAGAACACGTCTAGAATCAGATCCTCAATAATGATAATCCCTCGTAGAATCCATATCCAGCTGCCACATATCATCCGTTCCAGCGGTGTCAATGCAAGAGCCATGTAGAGTAAATCATATCAAACTTACCGGTCCCAATAATTGAAGTAAAAAATTTCTCAGTCATGGCTCACCCCTAATCCTTCCAAGTAATTCGCGCAGTTGATCTCTGTACAGTTCTCTATACAGAAACTGTTGGTATGCGCATTTTGTCCAACCGATAAGATACATGACCGATTTTTTTATTCTTTTCAGATGCTCGACTCAGACAGCTCCTTGCTTGTTACTATTTTGACTGGTCCCGTTAAGCCCTCGTATCACGATATATCTCTCACCGCCAGTCAGTTATCAAATCGTCAGATAACTCCCTCATAGATATTACCCTGGCTGTCGGATTTACCCTGTCGAGTACTCCGTATTCAGGATGTCGATGTCGTCTCCCGTAGACAAGACTAGCTAAGCATGATCTGCACTAATGCTGGTGTCTTCCTCCTTATCCACCCGATTCGGGCCAAAAACTGGGGAAATCCATTTCCCTCCAGGTCCGTCACGTGGCGGTGCCCATGTGATACGGCCGGTATCTCAGCCTCATCATCCCCAGATTTTGTGCTTCGTACGGGGTACTACTCGGGATTTCATTGCTATTGCGGTCGAGGAGAGTTGTACAGGACTTGTCATCTACTGTATAATAAAAAATGCCTTGGCTCGATTCAGGCAGCCAAATAGTACAGTAGGCTATCCATGTTGACATTGCTTGCGCCATATCTGGTTTTTGAGCCGCAATCACCCGATTCTAACGTGTTGCATGTATCGATGCAGTCCAACCTTGAAACCCGTTGCTGATCTAAGATGGATGCCAATCACCACACAACCGAAAACAGACTGTCAACATAAGCAGTAACGCATCCCATATAACTCCGGTAAGCTATGTACAACTTCTGCAGGCAATGACGACTCTGGATGGTCAAGACCCATAACTCTGCGGGCATGTGTCGGCCCGAGATCCGAGGTCCATGTCCTTTTCGCATTTCTTACGTGCTCTTCCGCTGCCGTCTCCATCGCAGAACCCACTCCACCAATATCCCTAGATCCTGAGAGACCTCGAGCGCGCGGGCGATCTTCTTCGGCATTTCCGACGCTTCGTCCTTTTGGTCTCCTGTCTCTGCGCCTTCGGGCCTGTCGTCGCCGGAAACCGGCTCCTCCCACAAGCCAGACGTGTCTACGACTGTGATGTGCCCGTTCAATCCCACCTCGAAACTGATCGAAAAGGTGTTCAGATAGTCGTTTTCGATGGACGCGTCGTTGATTGTGAAGAGTAGCATGATCACGGGTGCCTGTCCAAGTTGCGTCCGCAGCGTGATGTCGATTTTGACGTCGTCTGCATCGTTATTGGTCGACGTACCCTCCACATTAAGCCCTTTCATCAGGGCGTCGAGCTTCTGTTCGTTAGGGTCTTGATTGCTCAAAATGGTCACGTCTCCTTTTCCATTGGTTGTGCTTGATTGCGCAGCCTGCTGCTTTTTGTCAAGACTCATAGACCCCGGCCCATTTTGTTTGCTGTAGTGATCTTGCGACGGGGTATAAAAGATCTTTTGAACCATATTCTCCAACGTGGCATACTGGCGCAGAACCTGAAACGCAGCACTATTAGCCTCCAACCAATAAGAACTATCAAGAAAGGCTTACCGGGAAGATCTCTGCAAGTTGACGGGGATGCGAAAATGGAATATCCCGCATGGTCCTGCCAGCAACTGATTCAAAGGCCTGGAATGTGTAGCCGTGTTGCTTTTTGCAGGGCTTGCCTTCTGAATCAAGCGCCTGTACAGACAGTCGACGTTTCCTTCGATCAGCCTGCGGTGGCTCATCAGTGCCAAAGCCCATAATATCTGCGCCGGACAATGGTGACGATCCCGGAACCAGCAAACCATCGTACGTCACCATTCTGAACTCTTGGGGCAATTGAAGTCCCAGTTGTCTGTAGATATCGGAAGCTGCAAGAATAGGAATATCGAGGGGTGGCTCTATCTTTGCGACAAAGCGGCGATTTGGCGTGGATGAACCCAGCATGCCCGAATCAAGTGTCATAGCATCCGGGTTGCCTTGATTGTCGGAAGTCGTAGTCATTGGCGGCTCGGCCCAGTTGACCATAGGGATGTCTGGTGTAGCATTTTCGTTGGGAGCAGACGATTCGTCGGTGCTTGTAGCTGTCAGAACTTTGGAGTTTACCCAGTCTTTGGACACACGGAGTGATGGGTAACCCTCTTCACACTCGATCATGACGCTCCACATTTTATGTTGATGATCATCAAACTCCTGGTCAGCGTTGTCAAGTACCATTGCATCAGGCGATGTGCTTTTTCGTTTCGCATCCAAGACTTTCGCTTGGTATACCCAGTAATCCAGACTGATTCCGATTCGACCTCCTCTGTGTAGAGATGGTCGACCAACCCATCCACTGCACAGATGCTCGTAAATCTCAGGGAACTTCAGATGCTTGCTTTCTTCGTCCCAGATCCGTTTCAAACTCTCGTAAAGACCTTCAATAGCCTCAAAACAGTTGACCTCTTGACTGAGCCGGTCCAACTTGGCCAGCCACCGCAGGTTCTCATAAAACCCAGTCAGCGATTTCCAAGCACCCCGTTCTATTTCCTCAGGCGACTGCATCAGATCCCGCTTCAAGACAGCAGTGGCCTCATCTCTCCCTTCACCCTCGGTAGCCTCCGGTGTCGCATATTTCAAACTCACGTCTTTCACCGTGTGCTTCCCCGGATGGAACTCGATTTCAAGATCGACAAAGTTACCCGCAATGCTGAGGTTATCCTCCTGCCAAATCGATTCAAACCCTTCAAGCTGTCCCAACCGTTCGATACCCTCCCTGCACACACCTCTCCCTGCAACACGAGTCCGTAACATCTGGACAATATCCTCGATATGTCGTCTCCGCTCTTCATCGCTATCGCGAGCATTTCCAAGCTTAAAACCGTGCATTCCGAGCGCGTGAATATCGCTGTCGTGCATGCCAGCCCCGGCCAAGACTTCATGCGTTGCAGGAGACGGGCTGATCCCACTATAACCTCCAAGTGCTAAGAGGGCCGATGGCGAACTAAAAGCAACTGGATCATCGAGTCCCGCAGCTGCAACAGCAAGAGGCGTAGAGTACTGATGCAGCGGTGCGTGACCCCCCCCACCACCGTGAAAGTGTCCCGACGCCGAGGGGCTTCTTGCCGATGGTGACTTGTGTGACATGGGACGGGCCATGGGGACTCCTGATGGTCGGGGAGATGAGGTTAAGTGCGTTGGTGTCGCACCTGGATTCGGTTTTGAAGAGGGAGTCGCCATGGTCGTACTTGGATTCCTAGTACCTCCCCGAGAACTGGGACATTGATGTAAAGCAAAGTAAACCCAGGAGACTACTTGTTTTTGAAGATCATCCAGAGAGTAGCTTCTTTAGCGAGAGCACATATATCCTGGGACTGTTTGTTGTCGTGAAAATGGCGAAGCGCGCAGCTGCAAAATTATTCAAGTTCTATGTATCACTCCGTCATTTCTTGAAACCATAAATGCAATTGGAGTATTAGGAATATTATTGATAAAATATAAAATCGATGGCTACCGATCACCGACTCTCCATGATCGCAGCTTTTGAATTTGGTGAACTGCAAAGTCATGTGATACTATATGCAAATTATGCAAACTAAGCGGTAATCGAATTAATGATACCTCAGGCACAAATGCCCCAAGCCCTGATACGTCTTGAAGGACAACGACGATGATAGCAAAACCAAACTATTTCCAAACAGTAGCTGTAAGTCTGTACATTGTCTCTATGCTATTTTCGCAGCCAGGTACGTATTCGAATTTCGAGTTCATAGCATACATCAAAGTTTTTCGAAACCACCTTTGTTATTTTCCGCATACTTGTGCTCTGATAGCATGAAGTCACGATTTTTTGTACTTGTTGAAGATGAATGGCTGGCGTATGGCCTAAAAAAACACGTTGTAGAGAATTTACATGTAGGAAAATTTCCTATACATGAATTAATAACTAGCTCCTTTATGGTAAATTACCTAGGGTATTTGTTAATCAAATGATAATGCCTTTATTGAAAAAGCAGGACCACCATATCCTGACCTCAAAATATTCGAAAATAAACTCGAAATAGGAGTAGAGTATTTCTATTGTACCAGTAACTGAGTTGCTGTCATACAAAGGGTCAAAATGGTAGCGGAGGTGGTACACTCACTGTGAATTGAGCAATAGGTACCCGCTTAGGTAGAATATCTGTAGTGAACAGATGCGCCTCGCTTAATCCTTCTCGCCCTCTCCATTTCTTCATTTTTTTTTTTCTCTTCTTCCTCTATCGTTTTGGGTTGAACTACACAGTTATCATTTCGTTTACGGTATCGACTATTTCGTCTGTTCTGTGGTTTATAGAGCCGAGAGTTCTCGCTAAGTTGTCAATAGCAGAATTTCAAGGTAAGTACGTTACAGATAAAGAATGACACGATGCAGCTAACAGTGCGCAGCTCTAACGGTGATTCTTCATAATGCTTCGATAGGTGACCAGTCGCCGGCAGCCGTTTTCTGGTATGCCAACGCAGTGTCATGCTCTTGACAACGCTAAGCATTTCCAGATTCTGTCCGCCTAAGAAAGATTTGTTGGTCATCAAGACCGGGGGTTGTTCAGGGCTGAGAGACATCCAGAGTCTCAAAGTCGACTCTTTATCGCTCCATCCTTTTCAGCTCGCAGCTTGTGTCGTTATTCTCTACCCTTATACACTTTTAAACTTCGATCTCCTCTCTCTCTTTTTTTTTTTTTTTTTTTTTTTTACCTCTCCCTCTCTACTTCAACAATTTATCACTGGGGTAAATATGGCGGAACGCTTGGTAAAATTCCTTCTTTATCAGAAATGTGGCATATGAAGAGGCTAATATCTGATCTTCTAATAGTATACTGCTTTGTTTACATTTGAAAATGAACCTAAAGAAGTTCAAAAAGATGGTAGCGCCGCTGGGAACACCAGTGGATTATGGATGGTGATCCTTCAATACCACTTTGATGTAAGAGACGGTTTTGCACACAGGCCGGAATATCGAACTTCTAAAGGTTTTACGGACATCACATCTGTGAGGTGAATTGAGGGCAGCCACACCACCTATCGTCCTTACCTAATCACCCAGACAAAAGCGGCGAAGTATTAGAACCAAGATGCCGAATGGACCAAAGGGGAAGAGCAATTGACAAATTATCTAGGGGCGCTTGGGAAGACCGTAACACAGCGCAAATGGCTGTGGGGCATTTTAGCCATCGGTGAGCTCGTGAAGTTTTACGAGTTTAATCGACACACTGACACCCTGAGCGTCATGGGGTCCCGGCCCAAGGAAAAACTCAATATTAGCAACAATGCGCAAGCAATCACAAATATGTTACTGGAAATTAAGAAAGATGTTCTTAGACACATGGACGACTGTTGGTCACTAAAATTGTAGATTAATTCAATTTAGTTCTCTTCTAGATCCAGACATTGGTCAACTTTTTAACAACGCTCAATACTTCATCAAGCGCTCTAATATATATCTGCGTGTAGCTAATGCCTCGGACCTCTCGAACCGCCTTTCTAATTTCAGGCATAGACGCTTCCAATCGAGGTCATCGTCGGCCACGTCCTCTATCTCATGAAAGAATCTGACAGAGATCCTTGATCGCCAGAAAGTGCTATTGAAGCGAAGATCTAAAGCTTTCTCCATATCAGCCACTGTCTGAGATGGAAGATAATCAAGAATCATGTAAAGGATTTTTACCTGATATACGACATGTATTGCTTTTCTGGTTACAAAGAACTAGGAAGCGTCAGCCAATCGTTTATGCTACTTGATACCCTATGAATAACTCACTCATGCGGAAAATTCTCCACCAGGCTTTTCTTCATAAAAAGATGCAAATTCTCTAACTCATCAGCGGTACATATTCCAGCCCTATTATGATCGCGTAGACTTGTGAACGTCGAATCACAAACATCAATGGTAAATCCATAACTACAGATGTAGCAGCTCGGACTGAAGCAGTAATGTTCGGCATCAGGATTGTCGAAAACCTCCTGCAACTCATCAGCTGAGTATTCATCTGGAATAAATTGATAAGGCATCATGTTGTTATTGAGAGGTTTTGGTTGAAGATGCTCATGTTAATGAAAGAGGTGCACGCTAATAGTAATCTTGACGTGGACGGGTACATTGGATGTTTGGCTCAACCATAAGTAACATCTTAACCATACTCAATGTCGTTTAAAATACGGGAAATAATCGGCAACGATAATGAGCATACTTATCCCATTCTATGCATTCTCCGATCATTGTAGTTAGACGAATGGGGCATGCATCATTAGGGCACTATGCTCCACATGGTCACGTGAGTTTGTCTTGTTTGTTCCTCTACATCGTCATAGGCGACTTCAACGCTTCAACTTCTTAGAATTGACTGTTTTCTGATTCGGTGTTGCCGGATTCATCTATATCTCGACATCCAAAATGTTTTCAATAAGGCCAATTGTCCGTCAGGGACTCAGATTCCCCAAATGGACACAAATTCGCTCCGTGACCACGTTGGACGGCCGTCCGTACATAGTAAGTCCTTGTCACTCACTTTCGCTGTCTACCTACTTACGATCGTTCTATGAATATGTAGTATGTCTTCCCAAACGAAGTAGCCTCTGGCGAAAGCCATGTCTTATCCCTCCTGCCATCGAAACCGACGAACTCCAACGTACCTATCGGAATTACATCCAAATTACCACCGACACCAGAATCCTTCAAAGAGAACCCGGGTTTCTTGAGCATCCTGCAAGAAGTTATCTTGAAATATGCGCACGAAGACCCAGACAACATCTCCCAGGCACAGATGATGATATCCACGTCTGGAGCCAATCTGAGCTCCGGAGGGGTCCTGTTGACCGGTCAGAAAGCGCGGAGACGGCAGGCTAGTGCAGACTCAAGCGGTGGGGCCAGTGGTCAGGGTGGTGCTGGTGGTGCAGGACGAGGAGGCTGGATACATGTTTTTGATGAGAGGAGGCCGCCTGAGTATGGGCGGATTCCATGGTAAGAAAATGATTGTGCAGGCTGTGAGAATTGTGGCTGACGGATCGACAGGCCCGAGGATATTTTCGGAAGTCTCGAAGTCGATGGCGAGGGTAAATTCGTTGATGGGAATGGGAATTACCAACCGAGTGGTATGTATTTGCAGCACGATGGCAATGCGTTGACCTTGGCTGACTTTCGACAGGTACCTATCGAACCATCACTCGAGACGGAATGTAAGTGCTTTCCCCGAAACTGTTTTATCTGAGCATACTAACATGAAACTCAGTATCGCACCGAGTCCGTTCCTCAGGAAAAAGTTGGTCCAGAGACTACATGAAATCGAATCTCAATAGGGAGATTCTGTATCATATTTGTAACGATACGAATATTTTGTACTATACTCTTGGTGAACCATCCCATAAACTGCTGGACAGTTCGCATAACATTGTCTCGAAAATTATGTTAGCGGTAAAATCGATACGCTATAGGAACGCTAATTGCACCCTATTCCAATCGCCATTTCATACTCCTAGTCCAATGCAAACTGTGTATATCATTTTCGGAAAAAGTTGGTAATCCGCTGGGAGCCATCAGTTGACTTCTTTTCGTCCGCCTTCACTAGTTTGTGGTCGGATTGCTTCGAAGGTGAAACATATTGGGTCTTCTGTTTCTTCTGCTCTGTCTCTCCGATCTCGTCATGACTATCGGGTGGATGCTCTCTCTTGACACCAGGTACTGGCACAGGAGCGTTGTCCTCACTCCATTTATTGACCTGTGTTGTCCGATTCTCATCACTATCCTTGGTGACTTTCTGCTCCGATATATCTGTCTTTTCGTCCTTTGTCTTGATAGGTTTATCGTCCTTCTTTTGTTTTGCATTAGCGAAAAAGTTCGCGATATTGCTCTTATTCTCCTTGCTGTTGACTGGGATCAAAAAGTCGGGCGAGTCATTTCCGACCTTCCCGACTTCCTTCGAAACTGGGTAGCATTCTAGTTCGCCTTCATAAGGCTTGAGAATAGACTGCAGGCCCTTCGACCATGTGGTCCGGTTGGGATCTAGCCATGTTTTCATTGTTTCGCTTCCCTGGTCGAGGACCACTGGCATTCTGTCATGAAGGAACTTCAAGTAGGGGTTTGAACTTGTTGTGATGATGGCGTACGTATACAACTCCTCGTCAGAGTCTATGGACGATCTCGCGTTAGTCCAGTAATGGCAAACGTAAATTACCATCACAAAAAAATCATTCAGTCACCTTCATAGTGGACACAGTCCCAGAGCCCAGCGAAGCACATCAACTCGCCGTCTTTGCGCTTGACGAAGTGCGGGACCTTTTCCTTTCCTCCGGGACCCTTTTTCAGCCATTCGTAGAATCCCTGGCAAACCACAATACACCGCTTCTTTCGCTTCATTGACGTCCACATCCCGCGATCTTCGATTAACGAGTCATCTCGGCAATTGATTGTTCGCATAAGAGAGCCGTAGTCGGGCTTGCGTTTTGTCCAGAACGGGATAAGACCCCATCTCATGCTTTGCAGCTTGTATTTGGGTGCGCTCTTATTTCCAAGACCGCAATACTGGGTATTATATTCGTCTTCTTGCTGCCGTATCTCTTCCTGGGCTTTCTCTGTGGCTGTTTCGTCGCCTTCGTTTTCTCTCGTAGCTCTATGGTTTCTCTCCCTAGGATCGGCGCAATAGACTACACCATTGTATCCAGGCGCAAAGTTGTATGTCCCGCGTACTTCATCATCTCCTGGGGCGTCATTGACTTGCATGCCTTGCTGCTCGAGACGCTGTCGAACAAAGGCCATGCGCTATACCGGTCAGCGCGGACGCGGTGCGGAATAGACGGCATACCTACAACTCCCAGAGAATATCGCCCACACATTTTGCGACCAGATTATGAATCAAGCGCTGATAATATTGTCATGCACAAATCAATGTCAATTCTTCTGGCGTTATCGCAGGTATTCGTGCTGTTAATCGTTGTCCGGTTATGACTTCGACGTCATAGCAAAGGCGGGAGCTTGGACCACCCGCAGCCATTATTCCAGAAGCGGCAGAAAGTTCTCCAAATCCAACTTCATACAATTTTTCCCAAACGATATTGTGGCTTTCTTTCGGCTTATTTATTCTATTGATCCTCTGAGGCCATTTACAGTCGAGCGCCATTGAAGATACACCATGTTTAGAGCAGCATCGCGGCGCGCCTACGCCTCAGCACAAAAAACCGCACAGCACACCCCTCAACCATTATCACGATCGATATCAAGCAACACCACTCGTCCTACGCCCCTCCGCACGAATTACAGAATCCGAAACCCCCTCGTCTCTCGAAATGTCCTCCTCCAAACCCGCCACCTCAGCTTTGCGCAACGAATGAGATATGGTTTCCGGGAAGCTTCCAAGGGAATCTGGCGCAAGAACCCCATCCTTCTCCCAATCGCCCTTGTATCCACAATCGGCGCGGGTCTGTTATTCGCATATATCGCCTATATCGAAATCACCCGCGTGGGCCCCCAATATCACAAGTTCCCGCCGCCCGTGGCTGAGACGCTCCGGACGGCCGTATACTACACCGAAGTGGACCTTAACCCGCCCAAGGCATTGAAGGCGTACAAGGAGGCGTTGCATATTGCCATTGAGATGGGGTTACATCCGTTCTCGGACGAGGTTATTGGGATCAAGTTGCAGGTGGCGATGATGTTGGAGAAGGCGGGGCTGGTGAAGCCGGCGATTGATGTGTTGGAGCGGACGAAGGTCGAAGCGCTGAGTTGGGTAGACGATATGCGGAAGAAGAAGACTATTCAGACCAAGGAGGTGGCTCCTGTACCTGACCAGAAGAAGGTGGAAGAGGACAAGGTTGTGATCGATGATTCGGAGATTCTCGAGGAGCAGAAGAAAATAAAAGAACTAGAGGAATTTGAAGATCGCCAGCAGGACAAAACGCTTAAGAAGACCGTGGGAATACAGATGAAACTTGCTGAGCTCTATTCAAGCGACTACATTCAGGATGAGAAGAAGGCTGAGCAGGCGCAGGTCGCTGCCGTTGAATTATCATTGAAAGAAATGCACCGTCGCCAAGCTCTCGGCCTCCCTGTTGGTGGTGCATCGCAGAGTGAGAACAGTGACGCCTGGTTGAACCTCACGGAGATTGCCACCGCACTGGCCGATCTGGCATCCACCTATGTAACACAAGAGAAGTATGAGCTCGCCATGCCACTTTATTTGCGCGCACTGGATCTCCTTCGTGTGGACGAGGGTAACTCCCCGACTTGCAAACAGGTCACACTTCTCAATGGCGTCGCTACAGTGATGGCCGGACAAGTGCAAAGACCAGTTCGTCAACAACAGCAACAGCAGCAACCTGTTCCCCGCGAACAAACCATCGATGCCGCCAAAAAATGGGCGCAAAAGGCAATTGATGTCGCAGCTCGCATCCAACCGCCTGTTCGTGACGAGGACTGTGACCTCAGCTGCGTGGCGGCAACATATAACCTGGGCGAGCTGGCGGAGATGCAGGGAAAGCGCGAAGAAGCTGTTAAGCGTTATCGGGAAGCTAAATCACTGGCTGTGGGACTCGGGTTTGAAGATGCGGTTGCCATGACCGATGGTGCTTTGAAGCGATTGACAAAGAAATGAACCACGGATTCTTTCAATGTGATGCCTTGTATGTACAATAGGAATTCAAATGTAACATGTATGTGGACTGCGAACTGTACGGAGAATATTTGTTTCTGGCACGCATAATCACATGAAGAACTTATGCCTCAAGTTCAGCATTTGGTACAGTTTACCACTTCTACACAATAATTCTACGATCCAGCTCTTTTGAAGTCACATCGACGGAGCTGCCTGACTATAAGGAGCTTACTAAAGGCACTCCGTACCCCGACTCATCACACAGCTGGAGCTGAACCATAGAGAAAGTGGCTGAGAAGGTAAAGCACGGACACTCCGAAGTACAGCACTACTGTCGGTTGGCAACAATCGAAGTTAATACTACAGCAGAGTACCGATATCACACTATTCCGTACTGGATTCCGAATGTTAAAGGCCCTCGCCTTCTGGGCAGAGCTTTCAGATTCTATTCAGAATTATCCTAGTATTGAAGACCAACGGCTTGTGATTCATCATAATAGTTCATTCTATGGAGTATACAACATTGCATGGTTCAGCCCAGACCCAGGGTTTAATAACTAAATTACTCACGTAGGTTCACAAGGCCGTCCTGATCGTATTCATATCGCGTCTCCCGTTCCTAAACGCAATCAGCAAAGGAGTCAAGTCCCATGGGGAAAAGCCGAACCTACCCAGTATTTATTGAACCCAACACCTTCGCAAACCTTCGAGTATCCCAGGATCATTGGTGGTGCACCCACCGTCATACTCTTCTTCAACCCATCCAATGTCTCCCGGATACTCTTCAGCTTCGCTGCAACCAATGTCCACGGATACGCAACGGCAGAATAGCCCAACTGGGCGAGGTCCAACGCAGACAGGTTCTCCGTCTTCCCACCCTCAATGATGTTCCCGAAGATGGGAATGTCAACTTCTTCGGCGCATCGTTTCATCGCATCCCGGTCTGGTAGGGCCTCAACAAAGACAGCGTCGACGCCAATACGCTTGAATTCTTTAGCCCGGGTCATTGCTTCCTCCCAGCCATGGATAAGGGCATCGGTTCGTGCGAGGATGAAGATGTCTTGGCCTTCGTTGCGGGCGTCACAGGCGGCTTGGATTCGTGCGTAGGCTTCACCGCGGGAGACGACGGATTTACCTTTTGTATGACCGCAGCCTACACTAGTTAGCATCCATGTCAAAGTGAAGATTATAATCCTGACCAAGAGGAGGGAGAGGGAGGAAACCCACGCTTCGGCCAAGTCTGATCCTCAATCATCACACCAGCTGCCCCAGCAATCGCAAATGACTCCACCGTCCGCTTAACATTCATAGGACTTCCATACCCCGTATCACCATCCGCCATGACAGGCACACTCGTTACACGCACGATCTCCTGGATCTTCCGGCACAAGTCCTCCATAGCAATGTAGCCAGTATCCGGTAGTCCAAAGGCACTGGCCACAGCATACCCTGCTAGAAACACAATGGGGAATCCCGCTTCTTCCACCAGGCGGGAGGAGAGTCCATCGTAGCTGCAGGCATGGGCGATGATCTTGTTGGGGTTGTTGTGGGCTTCCAGCATCATGGTTCGGAGGCGTGATGCCTGTGCGGAGGGAATTCGACCGCGTACATTCTCGAGTTTAATGGGTAGGGAGGCCAAGGTACCGTCTCCGTTGGAGGTTGGTTGATCGGGGGTGTTGAATTGGAAGGGGTAGGGAACGCTCATTTTGAGCTATTTGGATTGTTGGATGGAAGAACGTGTTGTAGTTAGAAGCAAACAATGCATCTGGGAGATTATCCGGTTTAAATAACCGTCAAAAAGTTCTCTCTGCGCGGATATCTTGTATATCGCGCAAGCGGATATTTGGCAATTTCCGCGTTGAGCGGCAACAAGCTTACGAGTATCCACAGAATGGACCCAAAATGGCTCAAAAAAAGTATGAATAAGTGTCTGGACTATCCCCCTCATTCAATTGATGTAATACAATTAATCAGAAACAAGAACGTCCAATCGCACCATGTCTATTGGAATTTGGCCATGTCCCGCGCGGATATTGCCAAGTAGCCGTGACGAAAAGAACAATCAATCAATACCCCATGGGGTAGAAATGCGGGGAAGATGAAGCATATGTCGTCTTTAGCTTGACAATCCCGGGAAGTCACAGGTTAATCACAGTATCCCTGTATCCCCGCAGAGATTGGAAGACGGGTATATTAAAACCCCAGTCGTTGACATACAATGGCTCGCTGACACGCAAGAATCACCCCATCATGGAAGCCGTCAAGGATACAGAGTCACAGCATGTGGAGAACACTGAGTTCATAGACGTGGAGAAGAGTGCTATCCAACGTATCCGAGTCTCTGTTTCCGAGCAGGCTCACATCCGAAGGAAGGTACAGTCTCTCCCCTATTGATGAGCATCCTCGCAGCAACTGACATCCTTAGTTCGACCGCCGTGTATTGCCCATTGTTTGTATCCTCTATATCCTCTCTTATCTGGATAGAGGTGCGTATTCATTTTGTCCTCCCTCTCCATCTATGCTGAAAGAAGGGCAGGAAATGTGGGAAATGCCAAAACTGCCGGGCTGGAGAGTGGCCTAGGGCTCAGTGATTCGCAATGGACTTGGGTTCTCAACTCGTTTTACATCTGCTATGTCGTCTTCGAATGGACCACGGTCCTGTGGAAACTCCTCCCTGCCCATATCTACGTGACCGTGTTATGCATCTGGTATATGAGCCATTCCATACTTCCTATACGAAAGCTGAGACTGTCTAGCTGGGGTGCAGCAGCCATGTGTACCGGTACAGTGGACAACATGGCTGAGCTGATCGTCTGTCGATGCTTTCTGGGCGTTTTCGAGGCCGCCTTCGGAGCTGGAGCTCCATACTTCTTATCGTTGTTCTATCAACGATATGAACTTGGATTTAGGGTCTCATTGCTGCTGGGGATGTCTCCCGTGGCCAATTGCTTTGCCAGTGCGTTAGCCTACGGGATAACACAGATCAAACATTCGATCGCCCCGTGGCGATATCTATTCATTATTGGTGAGTTACTGATACCTCGTTACCTCATTTACCGCAACTTACACAAGCAGAGGGTGCACCCACCGTTATCTTCTCTATTGTCGTCTTCTTCTTCCTCCCAGACTCTCCAGGCACGGCAAAGTTCCTGACCGAAACGGAGCAAACTCACGCCGTTGAGAGACTGCAGACAGTTGACCGCACCGCAAAAACCCGACTCGACCGGAGACAGGTCTTCAACGGACTGACAGATTACAAGAACTATGTCCACACAGCAATCCACTTTTGCTGCAACTTCTCCTTCGCGGGACTGTCCAACTTCCTCCCTACTATCCTCAACGACATGGGGTATACATCAGTCAATGCACAGGGTCTGTCTGCTCCCCCGTATTTTGCGTCATTCCTGCTCTGCATCGTGGCAGCGGTTGTTTCAGACCGATGGGGAGGAAGAGGGCTTGTGGTCGCATTCTCTGCGACTGTCGGAATGATTGGCTACCTTATTCTGGCAGCTGTAGAGGATGAATACAAGACTGGGGTGCGGTATCTGGGTGTTTGGTTGGCTACGTGCGGAGTCTTCCCAGCCCTGAGTATCAACATAACCTGGCTGTTGAATAACCAGGGCGGTGATTCCAAGAAGTCTGCCGGAATGGCGCTGCTTGCGGTTTTCGGGCAGTGTTCAAGCTTTGTGAGCAGTGCTGTGTTTCCCAACTCCGAAGGGTGGGTTTTCCGTCTATCTTAATATGTGGGAAAGAACCCGGCTAATCTCTGCTCTCTGACCACAGTCCAATTTATATTCGCGGATGTGCCATTGGATGTGGCTTGACGGGGTGCATTGCGATCATGGCTCTGGGACTATATGCAAAACTGACCCTGGAGAATGAGAAGCGGGACAGGATGTATGGTACTGTGTCCAGAGACGTTCATGTCGATGTGACGAGAGATGGAGATAAGAACCCTCAATTCCGCTATTTGACTTGAGTGTAGTTAGCTCCGAAATGACACCCTGAATAATAATCCTTACTATTTTCATTCGTACATACTTCGTAAGTTGGACGTGGTTGATGTCAATAAGATTTGTTCCACCGTTCCCCACTGTGGAGACGCAGAACCCTTGCCAATTCGGGTAAGCGTGTGACAGGAGATCACCTCTCTTCGGCTATTCCAGTATCTCCCATATTCTTCCTCAACCATTCATCAACCTTTACGACGAAGAGTAAGAGGAAATGCCCCGCCCTTCTCGAAGCAGAGCAGCCCCCGAGTACAACTATCAACGGGCATACAAAGCATGTATCCCCTGCCGTCAGAGAAAAGTTAGATGCGAGTTAGACCCAGCGCGTCATCAGCAGCCGTGCAAAAGATGCGGGAAATTAGATCTTGAATGCCGTTTTACCACAAAGCAGCCCTGGTCAAGGAGGAAAACAGGTATGAGGGCGGTCCATTTTGCAAAAGTACGTCCAATTAACGGAGATCAGAGTCGATCAGGAGGAATTCACGTACTACTGCTCAGATATCGTCAGAACAGGGTCAGGAAGATACATGCATAAGCTGGCCGCTACATTCTGAGACTAGTGAAGGAGAGCAGTTGTACCCGGAAAAAGAATCCGCAGATGGGATTTCTACCACGGTCCTGCAGAAGAAGGTTACCAGCGGCCACGACGCGTTGGATATTCTGTTCGATGCAGCACTTCAAGAAAGAGAGATACCTACACCCCCCACAACCATTCCGGACACAGCGTCCCAAGTTAAGGAAGATGATGTGCTAAAAATCTGGGAGCGTTGCCGCTTTGTCAAGGGCGGGTGGCTCGCTGCGCACGAGGCAGTCTTCCTAATGGATACGTTAGTCGGACACACCTACTTTTGCCATGTAGGCCAATCTGACCACTAATAGGTTCTTCAAGAACATGGCCCCCGCGTCTCCCATTGTGACTGATTTCTTTGCTTCTCGTAATACCCACTATTGGTTGATCACCCAAGAACCCATGCTGTGCTGCACCATCCTTATGATATCTGCGCGGTATCATACCATCCCAGGGCCCTTTGGTATATCCCGAGGATTTATCATCCATCACAGATTGTGGCAACATTGCCAGCATCTCATATTACGGATCACCCTAGGACAAGAGAAAATCTCCAAAGCAAAGACAAGACACCTAGGGACGATCGAGGCGCTTCTCCTCCTCACAGAGTGGTATCCTCGAGCTTTACACTTTCCTCCGGAAACTGATGGGTGGGATTCGGACTTGATGTATACCACACCTAATGATCGAGATCCACCTGCTGTCACGGAAGAAATGCCGATACAAGAACGTTGGGAGCAGGATGTCATAGAGCCGACACGACGGTCGGATCGGATGTCGTGGATGCTTGTAGGCTCTGCACTGGCCCTTGCGCACGAGCTCGGAGTGTTTGATTCGAGAGAACAGCCTAGTTTCCCCAATGGCCCGGATGTGGGAGCATATATGAAGCACCTGGAATTCAGACGCCAACGTCTCCCAGCGCTGTTATTTGTTGTTTCGAGCCTATTGGCCTCTCGAATCGGTTGTCCACCCATCATGTCTGATAAATATAAGCCAGGAAACCTAGATAACATTTTGTTGGTCGATCCGCAATGGACAAACTTTATGGCCTCGTGGGTATATTTGACTGGTTTCGTCCGAATTATCGGGGAAAGGTTCCTTTTGGAAGCCAGGGATAACGAGCATCGAGGCATTGATTTCGAATCATTGGAACAGTTCAAGGACCAGCTTGATACGTGGAATGGAAATCATCGACAAACCGGGAGTGAGTTCTACATTTGAAATCAGACTGCAGGTGGACTAACGTTGTCTCAGACTTCCACTATGATGATATTTTACACATCGAGTACGAATATCTGAGGGTATTTACCAACTCCCTTGGAGTACAGGGAATCGTTGAACGGGTGTTATCAGACACTATACCACAAAAGACTATCGACGAGACATTCATTTCACGAGCACGCCAAATCAACATTAGCAGGAATGAGTACGACTTCATCGAAGAAGTAATTGATGGCACCTGTGCCATACTTTCGCGCATCGTGTCAATATCCCAGACAAAGTCACTCCAGTACTTTCCCATCCGAATCTTTTTACGCATGGTCAGCTCGTCGGTCTTCCTCCTCAAGGCTCTCTCCTTGGGAGTGCGAACGTCAAAACTGCAGGAGTCACTACATCTGCTCGACCAGGCTATTGTTGCCCTACAGTCTAATCAACAAGACGACATCCATCTTGTCTCGCAATATGCATCCCTACTGCAAATTCATGTTTCTCGATTACGGCAGACATTTGCCAAATCGGGCCGGTTGGAAAACCAGAATGGACATAGTCAGGAGGATGCTCCTGATACCGACAGAATAGATCAACCGTTTAACGAAGAAACTCCCTGGGATTCGAGCATGATCGACTGGGCCAACCAAATCGATCACCCTGGGGACTGGCTGTCACTTCCGTTGGATCCACTGATGGCACCGTTTGGATCGTGGGACGGTGTACCTACGGATTTAGATTCAGGGTATTTGGACTTGGACTTTATTTGGAATCTACCGCCTTGACGAATTGACGAGTGCTCCGAGTGAGGAAACTGTAATCTCCGGCAGGAGCAATTCATGCCTTCCGATATAAAGACTAAGAAGGGCCGTCGGTATGAATTGAAGGGAGGTGCATAAGTGCATAATATAGGGATGGCATTGCCCGGGGCTCTTGAGAGATCTACATACCCGGTTAGAAAATAATTGGAGGCAGTCGGCCCAAAGTCCGCCCGGATCTCTATGTTACTCCGTACTCCGTGCAGGTCTTAGATCGGAGATACTGTACGGGGTATCAGAACCCTAAAATCCCCGAGCGACTGCGGAGCTATGCAGTTGATATAAAATGCTACAAGAGTGACCCTATTCACCATGCATTATTCCATTCAAAAACATTACAATGTCCACCATGGAACGCTATCCCCTCAGTGGGTTGTCCATTCTGATTGTTGGTGGAGGTATTGGGGGTCTCACGTTTGCGATTGAGGCGCATCGCAAAGGCCATGATGTTCGCGTATTAGAGAAGCGTCCCAACTTTAGCGGATACGGTAAGTGGAAGTGAGCTGCGCACATAATACACCAATACTAATCTCTTGAAAGGTGACCTTTTATTATTGGAATGCAATGCCCTACAAGACCCAGCGAAACGTGAAAAATAATGACGGAGCCTGAATTGGAACTTGGCCTTTGGGTGATGGTCAGAATGCATCCTTGTCCTTGAACCGCTCGGAACTCCATACTCTGCTGTGTGAGTATATTCAGGGACTAGGAATTCGGGTAGACTTCTCAGCCGCTATGGATAACTATTTTGAGACGAACAATGAGGAAGGCGTCATCCTTACTGATGGACAGAAGCTCACGGCCGACATAGTTGTCGCTGCTGATGGGGTTGGTTCTAGATCTTGGTCCTTAGTCCTGGGTGAGAAGGACGTTGTCATTGGCTCGGAATTCGCCTGCTATAGGGCAACTTTTCCAGCTGGTGAAGCTTTGAAGAACCCCATCATTGCAAGGGAGTTTGAGAATCAGCCTGACCGTGCGTCGATACACATCGGACCTGGTGCGCATATGGCCGTGGGGAAAACTGAACTGCAGATGTGTTAAATATTGACACACCGGGTATGTTTTTTTTTTTTTTTTTTTTTTTTTAAAAAAAAAAAAAAAAAAAACTATAAGCTGCACACCTACTCAATGTGTATTCTAACCAACTCAAAACATAGGACGATTACAACGCAGAAGAGAACTGGGACAAAACCGTACCTACGGACAAAGCCTTGCAGTACATAGAGGGCTGGGATGCGTTCTTGGTCGAGCTCGTCAAAGAAACTCCGAACAACCGCTGCACCGACTGGAAATTGCTCTGGCGCAATCCCCAACAGAAGTGGACTTCTCCTGGTGCGCGAGTTTTCCAACTTGGCGACGCTGCCCACTCCTTCTTGCCGACCTCGGGGAGCGGGGCAGCAATGGCCATGGAGGATGCGTATTCTTTGGCAACGTGCTTGCAACTGGGTAGAAAGTCGGGTATCTCATTGGCTGTGAGGGTTCATAACCACCTACGGTAGGCACACACACACACACACACACGGGGCCATACAACAAATGAAACATACGCTAACCAAGCATCTCCGCAGGTTCGGGCGCGTATCCTGCGCTCAAAAGATGGGCTTCCACCACCGAGAGAAATTCCACAACACAGACTGGGATGAGGTTGCCAGGAATCCGAACGTACTCAGCAAGACTACTGCGGACTGGACCATGCGCCATGATCCGGAGCAATACGTCTACGACAACTACGGCAGCTGTACAAACCATATCCTCACAGGGGCATCGTTCGAGAACACCAATATGCCTCCCGACTACAGGTATAAACCTTGGACTGTCCAGGAGCTTATGGAGGCATTGGACAGACATGAAACAATTGTCGATGAGGGTGATTGGAGTTAAGCATATGCCTATTGTCGGAGGGAAGACGATTGGGATTGCGGTGTATATTTACAATGATTCTGTACGATTCATAAGGAAGCTAAATTATACTAACAAATCTTCTGATCTAATTTCATTTGGTTTATGTTGATCGAGAACCCGCTGCAAGACAATCGTCATTTGAGCTAAACTATATATGGGGTAGTGCATCGTGATAACAAAGGCACGAGCGATCTTGCGGTAGATCTTTCTCCTCTCTCAACCACCACAATGCATCTCCCATCCGTTGTCGCCGTCGCGCTGGCAGCCACTGTCAGCGCCAGACTCACCGCTAATTCTATACAAGCCAAAATCGATCATCTCACCAGTCTCACATCAAAGGCTGACGGCCCAATGATGAGAGCGAGTGCTCATAACTCCCACTCCAGAACACTTCCTGTATATCCTTAAATATCCAAGTTTCTTACTGCCATGTTTCTGGACACTAATGTAAATATACTCACAGCAAGTCGAAGACACTCTCAAATCTCGTTACAACCATGCAAATCGACGTAGACGAGTTCCAACAATCTACCATCGCTTTTAACAATTGCATGTATACACCCGACCCCGAGGGATGCATGGATTACCTCGAAGAAAACCTCGAAGACCCAAGCATGTCTATCGGAAAGGGACCTATATTTCCTGAAGCTGGACAGTAGGCAATCTGCACTGCTTTCCGCGAGGTACGTCTACAAATCCTGTACACAAGACACAAGACATAACTGACAAGATACAATAGTTCGCACTCGTGCAGAAGCGGTATATGGATTCTGTCCGTAGCAACCGTGTTTTCATTCGCAAGAGCCCTCATTGTCCGACTATGAGCAGATATCTTCGAGAGTTGAAGGGAGCTGTTCATAAATTTGACGCTGGGGTTATTCAGCTCGTCCCTAGCTGCAGGTCTGATATTCGCTGGTACGGATGGCCAATGGTGCATGTTGTGAATATCGTTGTTAATAGGTATGAATGATGTGTCTGGTGTATAACCTATGCTTCAGGATAATATGTTGCTATGCGGGTACATTGAAGATTGCACTGCGCTCCGAAGCCGGTTATGTACAACTGATCTGATCAAAATGGCTCCAATCGAGAATATGTGTGCATCACCGACCTGAACCCCTCGAATGATCCTGGTGTTCTTCAAGAGATCACCGTAATCGAGGTTGATCTTTTAGATCTACAGGATCTACAACTGTGTATATGCCAACCAACACATAAATCACAAGATTAAAGGCATATATGCTAGCCAACTGACTATGGAATTAGTTCTTCAATGAACGCAAGGAGTGTCTGAATGGAATTGAGGAAAATGCTTCGCCCTCGGACGATTATACTCCTGAACAGATTGTGGGTTATTTTAAGGACTTTTATGCAGCTTTTGAGGGGCTTCATGAGGGGGTTGCTGAGCGGATTCCTAAGTATAGTGGTGATATTGCAAACTATACCAGTGAAATGCAGGATGCTGTAAAAAAAACGTTACAAATTTTTATGGATAGGTGATTGAAATGAATGTCTCATGTCCTGTACGAAGATAGAGTAGAAGCATAGTTTACTGTCATTCCATCATGGCTCATACATTCCGATATATGCCAGCCCGCATGTCTTTTTAGTTCTTTTTTGAGAATTTTTGCTTGTAGTGTTGCTCTGTTTATATCAAAATAGAGACATGATAATAAATAAACAGATTAAAAAGAAAAAAGGTCCCCTCCACACACTTTTTAATTGCTTCCATTCATCATCACGACATCTCCCATCTATGCCCTCGACATAACACCCCAAGCACGGATCTTGTTGTCGGTGTAACCAGCGAACAGAGTCTGTCCGTCAGCGCTCCAGGCCAGGGAAACACACTCGGGCTCACGGCTCTTCTTGCCCTTCTCGATGTACTCGGGCTTGAGCTCGTCGACCTTGCTCTTCTTCTCGAGGTCGAAGATGGTGATGCTGGTGGCGGTGGCAGCGCAGAGCCAGTAGCGGTTGGGGGAGAAGACGAGGGCGTGGATCTCATCGCCGGCGTGGAGAGAGTAGAGGTGCTTGGACTCGTTGAGGTCCCAGAGCATGGTGGTACCGTCCTTGCCGCCGGAGGCGCAGAGAGAACCGTCGGGGGAGATGGTGACGGTGTTGATGTAGCCGGTGTGACCGATGTGGTCGGTCTGGAGACGGCAGGAAGCGAGCTCCCAAACCTATTCAAGTCATTAATATCTTTTTCGCAATTTCCGCATACGAAAAAAATTATAATAATGTAAAAAAGTCCCTCAGGCATTATGGTGAATGTTTGTCTCATGGCCAGAAGGCTCTGAAGTAGCAAATACGTAGATATGCAAGCATCTTTGGGACTCTTCGAAATCGAAAACAGGATGTAGAAACGTACCTTGACAAGCTTGTCCCAGCCAGCAGAGACGATGACGGGGTTCTGGGGGTTGGGGCTGAAGCGCACGCAAGAAACCCACTCGGTGTGGCCCTTGTCGGTGATGGTGTACTTGCAGTCACCCAGGGTGTTCCAGAGCTTGATGGAACGGTCACGAGAACCGGAGACAATCTGGCGGTTGTCGGCGGAGAAAGAGACGGAGAGGACGTCGTTGTTGTGGCCGACGAAAGTGCGGGTGGTGGCACCGCTGGCGAGCTCCCAGAGACGGAGGGACTTGTCCCACGAGGAGGAAAGAGCGTAGGCACCGTCAGAGGAGATCACCTATATCGTCCGTCAGCCTTTGTTTTCTTTCGCTTTTTTGCCTTGATTGGTTCTCGTTTCGCTCTCGCGGCTCGAATACAGTGGAATGGGGAATCGTACACAGTCAGAGACGATGTGAGAGTGACCCTGGAGGCTGCGCTTGGGGTAACCGTAGGCCTGCTCGTCGCGGGTAAGGTTCCAGATGATCAGGGACTTGTCGCGACTGCCCGAGAGCAGCATGTTGGGGCTAATCAAAAGATCTCAAGTCAGAATCCATATCCAAAATTTCCACGTATTCTCCATCGCAAATTTTTCCCGTGTATTTTCTCTCTTTTTCTTTTTTTTTTTTTTTTTTCTTCTTTCCTCCAGCAATTGCAGTTTCGACGTACTTCTCCAAAGAGGTAGCCAGGGAAGTAACCCAGCCATTGTGACCCTCGAGGGTGCCGCGAAGGACCAGCTGCTCAGCCATGATCGGAGTCTGGGAGACGATGAAGGGACCGCGAAAGGTGAGAGGAGGAGGATGAACGCGGGCGGAGCTATTGTCGTTGACTCTGGGGCTGGGATAAAATCACAGCAGTTTCGACGAGGCGAGCAGACAAGCTGCGTGCCCGCCCGTGCCCTAAACCACCGCCTGTGGGGACGTAGCCCTAGCCTAAGCGAGTCACGTGATTCTATACAGATTACCCTAAATGTACGACAACAACGGCAATGAATACTGAGAACGTACGGAGTACTGCTAAACGATAAATGATACAATAATATTCAATGACGGAGAATTACTATACAATCATGCATAAACAGTATCAAAAGTCACATAGTCTTATACGCGGTCCTAATGCACCGATTATCTCAAGAGCATCTCTGGCAGACTCGCAGATCAAGAAAACACCTTGATATTCGGCATCCTCCCCAAGCCTCCACCAGCAGTCTTCTTATTCTTTGCAGACTCAAACCCCTTTGCGCTCTTATCTCTCACATGCTGCCTCAACAGCCTCAAAACCTCCGACTCCGCCCACCGCGACGGAACAGGCCGATACGCAGCCCTGAAGGCGCCATGAGTCTGCGCCCACTCGCCGCTCTTGGCTCCCGTGCGCTTCCAGGTCTCCGTGACGGTGTCTTGGGTCTGCGTCTGCTGTTCTGCGAGCTGGCCGTCAGTGGCTGCAGACTCGGCAGGTGGGTCCTGCGTGGCCCAGTAGTAGATGTCCCAGTCGTTCTCGTCGAGGAAGCGATCGTACTCCTCAAGTTGCTGGGTTGTCATCTCGGGGAGATAGACGTCAGCAAAGGTAGAAAGCAAGAGGTCGGATTCAAGAATTCCGCGTTTGCGGCTCTGATCTGTAGTCACTCGTCAACACCCATTCAACCCAAGTCACAAGGTCCAATGGAAGGGAACATACACAACAACCTAGCCCTCCTCGTCGCCGCATCCTCCCCCTTCCTCTTCAACGGCTCAACCTTAAATTTAATCCCCTCCATCTCCCCAACCCCGAGCTCCGGCTTCTGCGCCCCAGATTCCTGCCGTCCACCCGTGAAATGCTCAACCCGTCCGGGATACGGATCCGCAGGTCTGTAGTTTGGATCGACCGAGCTCAGCATCTCCGGAGGCGCGCTCTTCGCGCCGACTTTCGGGTAGTCGCCGGTCATGGTGGAGGTGGTGTTGGGGATGGCTTGGTTAGGGGGCTTAGAGGTTTGGTTTTTGCGATGCTCGGGGGCGAGCGATGTGTCCGGGCGTAGTCTTTTGTCGTTTTCATGGTCGCTGTTGCGGATGGTTGTAGTGGTGAAGGTGCGGGTGAAGGGGAGGTTGGTTGTTGCCGTCGAGGGACGGAGGAAACGGGTGACGAGGCGTGGTGTGGACATTTTGATATCAAACACTCTCACTGAATCTTAATGTTCAGTGTCAATTGGGAGTGTCGAGAATGAGGAGATGAATAAACGTGCCCCAGGTTTGGCCGAGGATGGCGGGATTGACATCATCCGGAGTTCATGCTGCAGTTTGTTTGTAATGTTTGCATAGTCTGGCCAACGGAGGCCGGCGGATTACGGACCCGCTCTATACAAGTACTAACAGGATATTGAATTCGATAGTTATGGCATCGCATTGCGGGTTTCTTAAAGAGTAAATATGTCAAACGGTAATGATAAACTGGGCCACGAGTATTACTCCGAGAACCAGAGCTTCATAATCATGATTTTAAACAAATATATCCGAGAGTATTCAAGCCCATGTATTCAACAAGAATACAAACTCATATTCTGTCATAAGACAAGGCAGGAAAGGAACAGTTATTATCATCAACACATATTATCGTCCACCCCGAATAACCCAGCCCATCAATCAATCTAGATAAGGTGCTTGGATCTGTTCCAGTTAGCCATCTATAACCCCAACATAGCCGACAGGCCCAAGGGAGTCTAAAGGAAAGAACAGACCTAAAGTAAGCCCGCAGATAAACAACCTGCCAAGCCCCCAGCCCCATGAGCATCCCCATCGTCCCAAACGCAAACCACTTAACTCGCTCATTGGTACTCTCGTTGGTATCCCGCAGCTTCTGCTCCCGCGCACGCAGGTACTCCATCTCGTTCACAACCTCGGCTACCATTTCTTCAATGCGGCGTAGTTCGGTCTCGACGGGCTTGAGCTTCTCTTGCGCTTGGATGCTGGACCAGTCGCGGGCGTCGGCGCCAACGTCGATGTCGAGTTCGATAGAGCGGTAGGGGTTGGTGACGGCGTCTGCATCATTTATCAGTATACTTGCTCGCGCGTGTAGATATAGTTGGGGATGGAGGACGTACTGTGCGAAACGAGCTGGTTCTCAAAGCACACATCAAACGCGATGTCCGCGGGAGAGGTGAAGGCCTGACGAGTCTCGCCGGTGACGTCCTTCGGACGGCCGTGGTCGTTGCCAAGAGCATCCTTGATCTATATCATATCACTCCATTAGCATCGTCCCTCCGATTACTCCCAATGGCGTCCCCCGAAAAGGCACGGGGAAAAACGTACGTGCATGTTGACCATCTGTCCATCCCCCCTATTCCCATCAACAATTGCCGTCACCACGACCAACTGATCCTTCAGCACAAAGTTCCGTATGCACCGTTCATTCTTTGAGCTGTGGCCGGAGACAGCGGGGAGATCGAATCGGAGCGCCGATGTCAGCTGCGCGAGGATGAGGAGGGAGAGGAGCGGGCGGAGAAGTGATTTTAGCGTGAACCCCATTTTTGCGTTGGTGAATTGGTCTAGTTCATGGAGGTTAGAAAAGAGAGAAAAAAGATACGGGGCGGAGAAGAATTGGATTCTCGATCGGTAGACCCCGTCGGAGACACGTACTCTGTTCGAGGCCGGAGGAACTGTTTTGGTGATGCCACGCCGCTGCTAAGGGGGTGGAGGAATAATGTTCCGGGCGGATTTCCGCTCGCTACAACTCTATACTCCGGAGCAGTATTACAATCTATGGACGAACATTATAGCAATGGAAATAATAACTGATAAGTCGTGATTCTCGAATTGGAGAGAACGAATAAACTCCTATATACAGGTTGGTAATATAACAAGGAAATTGAAACAGTAAAGAAGGAACAGTCCACCCAATGCTGAAACCCAAGATATTCCCGCTGTTTCTGATCAAATCCAGAAGGCCAAAAGCATTAGAGATTAAAGGAAATAAGAAAATTAAAGAAAGTAAGAAGGTATTAGCGCGGCCAAAATCAGATATATCAAAATCGTGGTGAGCCATAAAAGAGAAGGGATGGGAAAAAAGAAGACAAGAAGCCGAAAAAGAAATGGCCCAAATATAATCGTACTGGTTCGGACGCTCCAAAACGCATGACAGCCATAGACACAGAGAGCCTCGACACATATACAAGAAAGGGGGAATAAACAAGAAAGGAAACTCGTCAAGGCAAAAAGGTCAAATCAAGCTTCAACCTTCTTTCTCCGCACGAATAACCGGGAGATACCATTCGAGTCCTTAGGCTTGCTCGTTGCAAAAGCTGGAGGTGCCCGAGGAGGCTCTGGAGGCCCGGTATTCTTGAGAAAGTCAGCCAAGTCGCCGGTATCGGTCTGTCTCTTGGGCATGGCTGTCCCATGAGTGACCTGCACTGTAGCTGGTTTGTTCCCACCATTTCGCTCCATGCCAACCTTGCTGGCATAATCCGACTGTCCCGAGGGACGAGGATCAGTCTGGGCGGAGTGCAGAGATGTCTTGGAGGTTTTCGAGGTGGGTGATTTTTCTGCGTTGTTGCGGAGGAAACGGGCCTTCATGGCAGATGCACTAGTGAGACTGCTTGGAGATTTGCTCGAAGGAGCGGTCACGTTGGTCGTGGCAATTGGCTGCGGAGTCGAATCAAAATCAGGAGGAGGCTCGCTGCGCAGGAAATCAACCAGGCTTTCCTCCTTACGCTGAGGCTTCTCTTCAAGTCTCAGGAGCTCCTCCAGCTCTTCATCGTCGTCATCATCAATAGCATACGGATCCCGGACCCGTCGTTGCTTCCGGACAGGCATCGGGTCATCGTCGAATGCCTTCGCACCACCGGAGGGAGCCGATGTGGGCGCAGGAGCATCTGCTTTGCCGTTGGCGCGGTTGGACGAGTCCAAGAGTCCCGTGCGGGAACCCAGCGAGGCGTGAGACTTGGTAGCCATCGAGCCATTGGGGGTACTCTCGCCGGAAGCCCGGGAAGCAGAGTTGTTCATGTCATCGGAATCCATTGTATTCCGGAATGGTGCAACGGAGCGGGAAATGCGATGAGATCCAGGCGTAGGCGGGCCCTCACGGATGAAGTCAATAAGCTCGGACGTCTGCTCTCCTCTGGGAGCCACAGCGGAACGAGCCTGCAACCGTGGACCAGAGGTGCTTCTTGTCGAGTTGGACAAACCGCTACCCGGCCTAATGAACTTCTTGGAGATCTCCGTAGCATCGGAGAACCGACGCATGGGTTTCGAAGGGGCGTCGGGGCTCTTAGTAGCTTCTCTTGCACTAGCAGGGCCATCAGGTCCGCTCGACTTCACAGAACTAGCAAAGTCGCGAGTCGAATCGGCCGCAGGCTTCGCATCCTTAGGCGACGAGAGACCCTCACTGGCTGCAGCAATCGGCTGAAACTTGGATACTGGTCTGGCAAGTGACTTGGAATTCATCTTCGGGCCTAGATCCCCGGGAGGACCAGTGCCCTTCAAGAAATCTGCCAAATCCGCCGTGCTCGAACGATTGGCCTTCCAACGAGGCGAATCGGGTTCCTCCATGTCCCTCATGTTTTTGGGCGTCAAGGTGTAATGAATCGTTTCATCACTTTGGATAAGCTGGTCCAAGCCTGGCGAATTCCTGCTACCACTCGATGGTCGGCTAGTCTCAGAAGAACTGCGAATACGCGGAGACGCGGATTCACCGCGCGGCGATCGGCCAACCATGCCTTTCAGCTTATTCGAGACCTGAGAGCCGGATGACCCTGCAGTAGGCGGGCGCTTTTCACTGTTGCTGTCCGACTTGGAAAGCGTCGATAATTGTCCGGGAACTCGCTGGACGGAAGCCCGGTTGGATGTAGCAAAAGCCGGAGAGGACCGGCCAGCGCGCTCAGCTGATGACCGTCTAGGAACAGAAGGCGCAGGGCAAGCTCCCTCGTCGTCGTCCTCATCGTCAAGAGCAAACCAGGTCTTTTCAATAGTCTTCTTCGCATCGTCGGCCGCTTTTTGTGCGTCGGTGGAGTGGCCGTCAGCCCCTTGCGTCGGAATGGGTACCTCGATCTCTGCCGGCACGCCAGGCGCACTGGACGCCGAAGCAGAGAGGGACTTTTTCGAGTCGTCACTAGCCTTACGCCGTGGGCGCTGGATGGTCGAAGTTGGCCTAGACGTCCCCCGATCTTCGATGATCTCAGTCATACCACGCTGGGTCTCTTCGTTCAGATACGCCGTTTCAGCACTGCCAGGCCGACTGACCTCAACCTCGACCGATGCACCTGACAGAGAAGGAGCCATGATAGAGTGGCGTGCAGTAGGTGTCTTCGCCCCTTCGGAGTGACGATGTTCGGTTGAGAATTCAGTCGCCGTGGGCGTGGAGATCGCCAGACCGGTGGATTCAGGATCAACAGACTCATCCTGCTCGTACATGGTCTCCAACCGGCGTCGTTCCTCCGACGGAGTGGGGGACACAATATCTTGAGCATCCTCCTGTTTATTGGCACCCGTATCTACGGGTAGCGCAGCCTCTTCTTGGGCTGCCACAACGTCCAGAGGGAAGTACGAATTGTTAGGCAGCGAGCGCGAACGGGAATGGCGGTTCAGCTTTGGACGGGACTCAGGGCCAGCCACAGGGGAACTTGCCACGGAGCGAGATCGGGGAAAGGAAGGAGACGAGAGTACCATGAGACTTCGTGGACGCACTTTGTGGGCCACAACAGCCTCCATAGTCTGAATCTCGCCTTCCGGTTCGGCTGAGAAACCCGGGATAGAGATTTCCTTGATGTCGTGCTCCGACATGGGCAAAGGAATAGACGCTGGGTCAATCTCTTCCTCGTGCGCTTCGGTGGTCTCAAACGAGGTAACCGAACGCGCGGGAAGCTCATCGATAGTGATGACACTACTCTTGCGGCTGCTCGCCAGTGTGGATGCAATGCCACGGCGACGGAAAGACTCTCGCGAGAGCGTACGGGACAAATTCGGGGTGCGCATTCGTTTCCTCCACGTGCGCCAGAGCCGGCCCAGGGTGGCGTTCATCGCCAATTTTTCCATGTCATAATCTTCAACGACCAGACGATCGATGCGGCCGCGTTCTGCGCCGGATTCGGCAATCTCGTCGTGCTCGAGGCTGAGCTTAGTCGACAACCGAGACCGGGCTGTCTCACCGGCAATGATCAAGGCCTGCTCGCCCAGATGCTCGATAATTGAAGTAAGAAAGATGGCCGCAGCCGGGGTGATGTTGTCGACATGACTGGCGAAGCGCCGTGGGGCGGTCTCCGTCTCTGCCAGACCATCGCGGACGATGTGCTCGTCCTCCTCGTCCTCCTCCATGTCACCCAGGCGGGTGTAGACCATACAGCGTAGTCGAGTACGCTTCCACGATCGGACAAGATCGAAGTCGCCGGTAGGTTCCTGACCACCACGGAATTCAAGATGCTCATCACCCTCACCACCCATGTATTCACTCAATTCATCATCAGCGGCAGACACGACTTCTTTGGCGAGGCGAGGTTTCAGCACTTCAGCGACAGCGGGTCGGATACTGGAGAGCTGTGTGGATTTGGAGACGGCCAGGATATTGAAAAGCAGATGGTCGAGGAAACCGTTTAGATGCGAGAGGGCTTCTGCTGTGACCAGCGCATTGGCAGAGTCACCATTGCCTTCCCCATCGTGGTCATCGGCGACGAAATCGACTGTGTTGAACTCCTGGTCCGCGGTAATGATCTGCGCAGCGGCGGACGAGGCAATGAAGGCTGGCTGAGGGGTCACGGGAGGCGGGAGGAGGAGATTGATCCGTGGGAGCTGGCCATCGCTTGACATGCTCGTGCTGCGAGAGCGTGAAACAGACCCGAAGTCGAAAGGTTCGGGGGTTTTGCTAAGAGGGGGCATCCTGTGGCACCTGCGACGTGGAATCGCAATAACACACAGAAGAATTCCTTTTTTGTCTTGTTGTTCTTCAGTCTTTATATAAGAACAATTCGATCTGAGCTCAGAATTGGAGAAGCTTCGTAAGCACGGTCTAAAAACGCCCGGTCATTCTAATTGCGAGGACGAAACAGAGTCAGTCAGCTTCAAATTCACAGTCACTTGAACACCAATACAAATACGAACCCGTGAGATTATATGAGAAGTGGTAAGAAAGGATTATAACCGTTTCATGTCCAGCAGAAGAGGAGAAGAAAAAGCAATGAACGTTTTGGAATCCGGGGAATTTTTGTGACTTGCAGAGAGAATGTGACGGCCGTCGTGGGGCGTGGACTGAAGAACGTGATAAAGAAGGAGAAGGAAGAATCCAAAAAGAACAAAGAATCGAAGAAGAAAAGAATGAAAGAAGCAATGAAAGAGAATATTCAGGAGAAAAAAACGAAGAAGGAAAAAAGAGATGAAGAAGGAAAGACGAAAAGAAAAAGACAACCCAAAGTTGGGGGAAATCAGGAGAGGGAAGTGGAGGTGCGGTTAGAGTTTCACACGATCGACGTACGCAGTAGTAGTATGTAAGTATACGGAGGGTACGGAGGAATATAGATCGAGTCAATATTTGCATTGGAGGTACAAGCAAGTATTTAATATTTATGAGAGAGAACAAGTATTTCCAATGTCAACCAAGCCAAGTGCCATGGGTAAAAAAGCAAAAAAGAAGCAGGTGTTGGGACTACCAAGCACTGACTGTAGATGGTCTCTGCTCCACTGGTCCAGGTCAGGGGCATACTTACATAGTAACTTTGAATCCCAGGGGCCACCCTATTCCCACTGCACAGTCAATGATACTCTACACAGTACTCCGTATATACTACTATGCAGAATTCATAAATTTATAATTCAATTACTAAAATGATAAATATTTCCATCCCAACGGGATAATCTCTCTTGTGCGAGTTCCCATGTAGCACTACATACGTAGTCGGCTCTCTCCTACTGCAATGGCCACTACTGCCCCGCACCGCCAATAGTTCTTGTCCATCAACCCTGGAACCATGGATTTTATTCCATATCCACGGGTTCCAACACAGACCAGGGGAAATATTCTGCACAAGAACTCTTTCATCTTTCTTCCAGAAAACTGTCAGTTCCTTATTCCTCCGATTGCTTTTCAATAGATAGAAGCTTGGCTGTGGATGCTGGCTGCATAGTACTCTGTAGTTGTCTGTCGTACAGAGGCTGGACTGTGCAGGACAAGTGACCCTGACTCAGTCGGGTTGCCAATGATGCAATGCTCGTATCCCGAATCCCCGGCGGGTACGGATACACGGTCAGTGTGTTGGAAATAGCATGTATGCAATGATCCCGGGAGTGATCCCGGTGGACATTGCGTTGAGTCTACCAATCTCTGCAAAGCCACATCCATCCTGGGCCCTGAATATTTCACCGCCCCAATCCCCCTCGGTCCACAGAACTCGAACTCCCTCGCCTCAAGCCCAACACCAACAACCGGATTCTCAGCAATCAAAGGGAAGTTAGCGAGTGCGCGCGATGTAATCCGACTCCAAGACAAATCAACAGTATCCAAATACGGGCATCAATCTCGTAGTGTCTCGAGTATCTCCTGCCATCGATCGCGAGATTCAGAGGTAAGACGGACCCATCGAAACGAAACAACACGGAGAGAATGGCCAACGCGACAAAGTAACGCCGCCAGATCATCCCTTGATACAAACATGTTGCTGAGTGTGACTTCCTGTAGTTGTGTTGGTGGTTGAAGAATATCCATATGCATGAGCCGCCTCAGAAACAATGCAGCGTCTCCCCCGATATCGAACGACATGGACAACTTCTGGAGATTCGGCGCATGCTGGATAAACGCAATCCCCATGTCCACGGCGACGCGAGACTCCATCTTGTAATCAAGCATCAACTCTCGTATGTGAACCCAAGCAGCGACGAAATTCCTTCCATGCAGATTCGGTAGATTCGATAACCGTCTTGGATCAATCCCACATCCACCACATCCACCATCTTCCGCCAAATCTACCAGAAACGACATCGTCGGTAGTCCCGTATCAGCAATAATATTCAACAGAATCGTGAGAACATCACTGCGCGTCAGGAATTGATCCTCGTATTTATCCTCCGACGTCATGGGATCATCAATCTGGAAAGAGGTGCAGTTAGCGCAAGATCTCAAGATCCTCTGCAGCTGCTGTACTCCATCCTGGCGAAGAGGATCCAGGAGATGACCGTCCGCATGTCGATTCCAGATGATTCCCTTGCCGTATATCGTATCCTCGCTAGTGACCAATAGCCGGTGGGCATATTGTCCTAGTCGCGGATTATCATAGAGTTGCTGGATCGAGGTGCTGGATGATATGATCGACCAGTTCAACGGGCAGGTTGCGGAACGGAGAGGCGGCTCTTTGTTTCCGGATGTAGGTTTTCAGCTTGTTCAACGATTTATGTATACGAGCCATTGTACGGAGGGATACCGGGTGTTGAGAAAAAGGGAAACAGGGGATGCCATATTGACCACGTCAAATGACTGCTGGTCTATGCTGTAGCTAAGGGCAAGGCTGACAAGGCTGAAACGGACCAAGCACTCCGAGGATAATAAATCAACACTCTATGCTGTCTAGGCTAGCTTCAATATACTTGACATCACTTCGTAAAAACCGAAAGAAACCCGCTAATGTTTTCAACACTATTCACAAAACGAGAACCCGAAATTTTTAGTCAATGTTAATGGACCTTCCAATTCTCCAGGGCATATGTGACTCCTCCGGCAAAAAAGCTCAGCTCATCCGCCTCCACGTCCACGTTGCCTTGGGCCAATCGCTCCACAAGCAGCCTTTGGATCCGGTCCATCAAGCTCAAATTATGGCTTTCTAATGCCTTTGTCTGCGGCGTCAAACCCATCTTTTGTGAGCTGAGCGCCACCAGCTCTTCGAATTCGTCGGGTACAAGCAGGTTGCGAAATACTCCAATCACATGGTTCAGCGCATGGTCCATGTATACCCCATCGCTGCAGTTCGTCTCCAAATACGGAGTCTCTGCTTGTCCCAATCGAATGTCATCCACCAAGGCACGGAGCCGCCCTTTGTACTGGGAATCGGCAATCTCTTTAATGCCGTTGACGTATGCCACAAACAACTGCCTGTCCACATCCACCATGTCCCCTGGGTATTCCTCAGGATCAATGGAATTTCGCCAATGTTCCTCGGTCGATTCGATTGCGGCCGGCTTTTCTCCGTCGAAAGTTTGGAGGCTGCCGGAAGACCGCGCCATCTCCATGAGCTCATGGCAGGTCAGCCCAGTGCCAGGCCCTTCGTCTTCTTCGAGCTCAGGCGCTTCGATGTACTGCACATTCGGATCAAACCGAACTATCGACTCAAACGCGATGAATGAATCATCGAACATTCCGTCCTCGTCTTCACTGATAATTTCGGACATGGCATCGTCGGTGTCCCAGCAAATAGACACTTCGCACAACTCTTCGTCTTCTTCTCCTTCGGACACAGTCTCGTATTCGCAATCAAACGCATCGGTCCCATAGCCTGATTCCGACTGCGCATCCTCTATTTCAAGCTCGGTCTCTGGCTTCTTCAAGATAGATTTCAAATATGGGCGTAATTTTGACTCTGATGAGGGTTCCTGGCTCGGGGCAATCGACGTGTCCACCGTAGTCGGATTGCTTGAGACTATCGAAACCTCATCGGAAGCATAGCTGCTGTCCTGGGAGAGAGACACTTCGAGATTCGAAAATGCAGAAAGCGACTCCCAGGACTTTCTGCTCAAGGTGGTTGGTTCGCCCATTTTGAAGAATCTGGGAATCCGTGTCCTAGGACAACGGTCTCTAGGTAACGTGAGAACTAGGGAAAAAACGTAAAAGGCGTAACAAACTACTTAGGTTGTTCGTGTTGTTTTGTTCGACGTAAGAAGATTGTTGAGTTTTGTTTTTCTGAGAATCAAATGGCTTTGATGGCCTCCAGTAAACCGATATAGGTCCATTATGGAAGCGCTGACGTGAATCGGAATTCGTTTAAGGGAGAGCGACGACGAGGGAACCCCCGACCTTAATGCACTTAAAAGCCATGACTCAAATTCCTGATTCTTGTAGATTGTTTCTCGTTCTTGCGTAAGCGACACGGTTGGATCTGCTTTTTTCCTTTCAACGATTCGAGATATACCGCTCCGAAGTAATACATGTAGATCGTGAATCTGTTGACGTCGAACGAAGGAATCCGGAGCGGAGAGGTGTCGATATTCAGGGCTGAGTAGTCGAAGACCACGAACGCGCTGCGTCTCTGGTTATCCGTCTTTGACTCGTCTTCAAAAGACAAGAATCGATCGTGAAAACGTGTGGTGAGATTTCAAGGGCAACGGTAGTAGAGTGTTGGGTCTTATTGTGTCATTCCCACTTGTGCGTGGGATTCTGACACGAATAGAGGCGCCGCGGGGAAGACCGGGCGAGGTGTAAAAATAGAAAAAGTGACTTCTAACTCCGATTAAGAAGCAGGGGTGTTTTAATAAAAGCGTTGGACACTCAAACAATAACAATAGATGGTAGTAGAAGTAGCACGGTTAACGGTGCTGGAGAAAAGGAAAGGAGAAAGGGAAGGCGAGGGGGCGAAATCGGATCGCTCAGCTTCCCGTCATCGTCACCTGACCTGTGCGTCTTCGGCATTCCGGAACAGGTTTAGCCGGGTTCATGCTGAGTCAGATCAATGATTCCGTGTTTGGGAGAACTTCCTGGAAAAGTCATGACTGAATTGGATACATACTCCGTACAGTCTCACAGGGCTGACAGGAACATATTATGTACAGTGGGATAATTTGCCAACATGGTGAACAAATCACTATGTTACTGGACTACAATATTTCATGACGCTTCGCTAAAGCCATACAAGTAGTCATACGGCCCTCTAAAACTCCGTATGCCATGCATGATGATGACGCTAATTTTTAAGTAGAATGTCCGGCGCTAAGAAAGCATGCCAAAAGCCTTAGTTTACTTTGAAGTATATCTTTCATCAATCATTCTTTACGTGGCTTTATCTGTCGGCGATCCCGTCTTGCATAGAATACGGTGAACTTTCCGAGGCTCCGAGTCGATTCAGCTTCGAGAAGATGAATGGATATGTTGGCAGGCTCAAAGAAGGCTGTGATTATTTCCTCGGTTCCTGCACCTCGTTGGTCCTCATGCGCTTCCTGGTACCCCACGAGGCTGTGATGAAGGAAGGCTAGGAACAGAGGCAAGGAACAAACACGAGTTGATCACCTCGAAATAACCGTATCTGATTCATCTACTCCGTACCACTTCTGACTTCATTGCTTTGTTTGGATTGTCCAATCGGATGGACCCAGTCTGCGCAAGCACGATCACACGTACGCGCCGCATTACAAGCAATTCGGACAAGAGAGGAAACATAACATATCGATTCAGAAGAGTACCATGTACGAAAAATTGGGTTACAGGTACAAGTCCGCTTTGCAATGCAATGCGCAAGCCTTCGAGAAGTCTTGGGTGAGCTTCGGACGCATGCGTTCTGTGCTTTATGAAGGCTCGGTATAAAAATGAATAATTATAGAAACCGGTCTTGCTTCTTTTTTCCGAGTCAATCAGAATTCGCCTTGGAAGATGAGAGTGAGTGGCCAGTACATTGTCACATTCCAGAGATCTGATTGTGCATTATTGGCCTGGGCTTTCATTCCATCCAGCCTCCCGCATTCCTGAATGACGCCGCTCGAACCATGCTTGGAACATCCAAACCAGTACATTGCGGACAAAAGCATCAAACTAACATTCCAGAGAGGAAGATCCCTCCTGGCCACTGCGCTCTGGTTTTGCTGGAGGCTAAGGGAGTAGTTTCTTTGACAAACAAGCAGTGTCATGACGCTTACACCCGCCAGTCTGGTGAGATAATTGACAGGTCCAACTTCTCCACAGCAAACTTTACACTCGCCGGCTATAGGTGGGATTTTGCAGCGGAAGTAAAGGTCAACCAAGCCGCCGTTCATGATTCAGGCGCATAGATCAGCAGGCATTTCTCTGTATCGCTACTATTATTGGCTTGAGGTGCTTTGCGATACCTTTCCAAAACCGTCGTGTTTATTTTTTGATACTGCTATCTTTTCTTGCTACTACTAGTACCATGGCCACTGTTTTTGGATTAGCGAGCGGGCGTTACATTCCGAAAGGTGGTCGTCCGGATCTCCTGTCTCCTCAGGGCGTTTTTTTCCACTGGACAGCATGGAGAGGGTCGGAAATGCGTTCAGCCATCCTGATTTTGACGTACTACGATTGGTGGTCAGAAAACCTGGAGAAACCTCCCTTCAATTGGTCTGTGGTGGACCATGTATAGAAAGTCTCCTTAGGGCACATTCCTCGGTCATTGGAATGTGCAGGGAAACCATTGAGGCTGGGACCGAGTCGCAACGATTCAAATAGACCCCTGAAGTCGGTTGTTTGTTTGCTTTGTCTTCTTTGCATCTTCTGCAGTGTTTTCTTTGATTGTCAATCGTTCAAACTGTTCCTACATCACGGGGCATACATTCGTTTCTTGCCTAAGGCTATCATTCGCTGCAGAACCCTGCCGATTTCGAACTTTCGTTTTTTCGAGTCAGATTGCTTTGCCCTTTTTGGCTTTCTTTATCCTTGCCAATCATATCAAATAGTGTCTTCGGTGGTTCGCCCCAGTACCAGACTTTGGCCCAGTCATTCGTTCATCGCCGCAAACGGAAATCAAAAAGAAGCGAAGATGTTCGCCCAACAGTTCGACCACTCGTTCAATGACATATTTAACCAGTACGTCAATGTGGAATCCTCGAGCGCCGATGGCAACAAAGACGTATCATTTCCCAGCGGCGACTTTGAACAACTGTTCCCAGTCGACTCATTGTCAAGTGACTGTGGCGCTCTTTCATCGCCCACTATTTCCCCCTCCAATAAGCGGTCCCGTCAGTCTCCTCAGCCCTGGAGTACTCCTGCTCAAGACCTCTGGAGTCTGCCGCAAGAGACCGGTGCTGCGTCATCTTCGTCCGTCGACCAGGGCACCTTTTCTTTCCATGACACTGTCCAACCTTCTGCTGTGTCTAATCTGAGTCTCAATCTTGACGCTCAGTCATCCTCCTCTTCTTCCCGACCTACAGTAGCTCATGGGCTATCCTCCACTCCGCTGTCGACCCCTCCCGAGACTCCCCGCAAGAAAGTTTGTATGGGTAGTGGTATAAACACTCCCAAGTCTATCCGTCATCATCAGGATACGGGTGACCGCCGTCGCCAGCTGCGCAAGCAGAGCTCCTCTCCTAGTTTGACGCGCTCTTCACGCGCCCAGAAAGCTAGAATGGCATATTCTGAAGCTTCTGCCCCACGCTTCCACAAATTCAGCCTCCATAGTTCAGACGACCGTCTACCGTTGTCTCCGCCACCAACAGATCTTCTCGCGCAGCACGAGAACCTTTCTGCACATAACGCAACTCACCTGAACGGCTCTACGGACCAGTTTTCAGGTGATTCTGCCAAGATGCCTCAGCAGTACGATTCGAGCATCTTTAACCAATCTCCGGCTATTTCTATGCCCTCGCCCTCGGCTAGTGCATTGGCCAGACAGCAACAGAGATACATGAGCCAACCAAACAGCACTACATTGACCCCCAGTCCTCCCTCAGCCGACGAAATTTTCTCCTCTCCGCACTCTTCGGGCTCCCAGTCCTTGTCCTCGTGGTATTCTGATTCACTTGCACCATCCGCTTTCTCCTTTACTCCCGACCTTAACCACGATGCACAGCAATGGTGGTCGCCTATGGCATCGCGACTCGCACCGCAGCAGCAATCCTCGTACCAACCGATGCTGGAAGCGCCAACTCCCCAAAGGCCCATCGCGAACCACGACCAGCACAATGACATGCTGCAAGGAGGACTTATGATTCAGTTCGATCCTTCGTTCGACATGTCTGCACCAGCAGAGCCATCCTTCCCCCCATCGACCATTTCTTCCTCGGCACCGGCTACAACCCAGGAAAGCCAGACCTACCATCCCGTCTCCAGCACACACATCAACTCCTCCTTCGCCGCCTCTACCCCTCAAATCCAGCACCACACCCGATCACCTTCTCTATCCCCAAGGAACAGCGGTGCTACTACATCACCCAAGAGCGGCTCAACAACAGCAACACCAACACCACGGACAGGGACCACCATGAAAACACCACACCGCCGCAGCTACGAGCGAAAGATGTCCGCTCCCTCGAACACGCCCAAACCCGTCAAGACACACAGCCCTAGGGGCTCCAGCAAGTCCGTGTCCGTGTCTTTTGTCAACTTCACCCCGAGCGACAGCAAGAAGATCTTGACGGGGGTTGCGCCCAGTGGTAGCTCCAAGACCAAGGCGAGACGTGAGCAGGAAGCGCGCGATCGCCGGCGCAAACTGGGTGAGGCTGCGTTGAAGGCTGTGAGAAATGCGGGGGGCGACATTGATGCTTTGGAAGCTGTGCTGTGCTGAGAGATTGATATCCTTTTGTTTTGACTTTGTTTATTGTCTATTACTGACTGACTATATGTCACCTTGGTCATAATACCTCGTGTACTTTACTGTATTTCTGTATGTTTGTTATTTGGCAGTGGTCGTTTCGGTGTTTGCTGGTATCAATTGTTATTTATTAGCGTCTCTGGACTGGGTTTTTGGATTTGGGTATAGGTCTTTTCCTTTTGCTAATAACATTTCTAATTTTAATCACTAAGATCATTCTTGTCAGAAATTTGGAGTTTTATACTGTATGACATCATTTTTCCAACTTTAGCATCCGAAGCATGAATCATATATTCTGCTTTACTGCTTAGGGCTACGGTTATTACAGTGAGAAACCTGCCCGTGAAAAATACTCGTAATTACTTTTGGCACTCAAACAAACAGTACCAAACCGCGCCTCGCCTTTCACCAATGCCCGTTGCTCCACCGGTACCTGCCCAGACTCCAGCTGCTTCACTTCTAGCAAGCGTCAACGCGACGACCACACGAGAAAAGAGTCCAATCCGCCGTTTGTTGGTCAGATCCTACGGCCCATACTGGTGCATACAAAGGTATGCCTCTGGGCCTACCGTCCCATTCCGGAGATATTCTCATATCCACGACCCGCTCTTTGAATGTCACGTAGCCTTCGTGCCATTTTTGCAAGAAGAGAGAACGACTGAAACATTAGTGAACTTGCTCAGTAAATAGGATGGATTTGGTAGACATACTGTCCATTTAATGCAGGCAATTCTTCCACATCGCGGTGTAAAAAAGAGTTGACATCTCCGCGGCCGCCCTCCTGCTTTAGAGCGCGCTCCAATATCGCGCTCCTGACTCTATAATCGACTGCTCGGTTGTTTTTTTTTTTTTTTTTGCTGCGCAAACAGCCGTCCGTACGTGCCACATAAGATAACTCGATGAGTGAGGCCAGCTTCTTGAGCACACGTATTAAGTCCAATATGAACTGCGCTATAGATAGACGAGTTGGAAAATCTGCCTGAAGCAAGGCAAACTGATCTTGCGAGATTCGATCCTGACTCCTGACTGGAGGTCCTCCTTTTCGTGAATGCTTCTGCAAAAGGTTTCTGAACCCACCCATGTCCTCTGGGATGGAGAATTCAACGACGTTGTCGGACGTCTTTGTTTCGCCCTAAGAGGGGTCAAAGTCCCACGTATAAAAAGAGGGGTTGGGAGGATAGCAGAAGCAGGTAGATAGACATTTACTATTCAGCTTTTTCAACGAGCCCGAGAAATTTCGTGTAACGAAGATTTGGAGGTAGAAAGATTTACAGAGAGGGCAAAGAGAGCAAAAGAAAGAATAATAAAATAAAATAAACCGTCTTACAGTTACAGTGAATAGAGCCAAGTTGGTGTTTGTATAGGAAGGGTAGGGTTAGTTAGAAAGTATACAGCATAGATTCTATTATCATTCTGTTTAATTACTACCATGGGTTCTCTACTTAATATCAATAGCTTTGGAGAGGAATATATGTGTCATTGCTGATCTCTGCGTACAGAGACATCTAAAGAGGCCCCCCAAGAAACGGCTCCGGTGGTTAAGACCGAACAAAAACCACGGATCGATGATAGTTTGATTATACCCCAAACTTCCACATTTGATTCTTTTTATCCTCAGAATCGACCTAACAGTTTCCACCCGCTACTTCATCTGTACTATCTGTCGATATGTCTGCCCCCGTACCTTCTAACCAGCCTATTCATGTATCGAATGAATATAAAGGGTCTACTCGGTTAGAAGGGTCGAACGAACTTGAAAAGTCCAGATTACGCGAAGCACTCTACAACATGTTTTGCGACCTCAAGGCTATTCCAGTCTCTACTCTAGACCAAGCGCATTTCAAGAGCCTAGGAATTAGGGCCGAGGCGCTCCCACCAGCAGAGACAACAGCAGATGATCCAACGAGCGATAATACACCCAAGCCAGCAGAGTTCTTCGAGCCAATGTCCGAAGCGGAACTATAGGGTTACTCATTTGGTCCTGAGGATGAGATTCAACAGGACATCTCTTCTACTTCGGTGTTGTTGGAGAGCATTGCCGGCCGTGATGGGGCAGGACTCGGCTGACTTCTTCTGTGCTCTTTTTGCGCGGATATTTGGCGCGACTAGAGCCAGTATCCCAAAGACTGAGCAGGGATTTGGTCAATCTCTTGAAGATATACGTGGATGGGCTTTCCGGGAGTAAGTTTACCTTCCCTTTCTCTTCTTCTTTCGACTAATAATAATAATAATAATAATAATAATAATAATAATAATAATAATAATAATAATAATAATAATAATAATAATATTGGTCATTGCTATAGGGACTTCATAAAGTCCATCTTTAGACAACACTATTTGGATACTTTGTTTTTCGAGAGGGATCCCCCTTTCTCGCCAGCAGCTTCATGGGTCACAGTAGATCAGCAGGGGAGGCCGCATATAACTCTTACACTGAAGCATGAGGCTAGAGGTGACGAGAGGCTGCTGAGAGGAGAGCTTTTTGCAATTGTGGCGGCAATTAGTAGCCGAATATCGTTTAAACACTTTGAACGTCATGCGGTAGTCCCGGTATATACCAATTCCTTGCTTTTTCTAACTATTTTATTGCCTAACCAACATTGTCTTGATAAAACAAGTCATGGTCCTTTCCTTCATGGACCCCACTCGTGGAAGAATCCTACAGGCCTACCATGACGGTGATGAGCTTGTATTGCAGAAAAGCAAGTTGTTCGACTTCTCCAGTGTGAAAACGGCCCCGTTTGAACTTTTCATGCGGCATCTGTCCTGCAAGCCTGTTGGAAATACCGAACAGTTCTCTGCAACTTCCGTTACAGAGGTCGCTGAAGGGGACTTCGTTGTGCTGTCAAGTGATGTTCCGAGTACGGATGAATCCCGGTCAGGTCAGGGTCCCTCATTTTCACTGCCTTCAAGAGGAAAGGAGTAGCGATTCAATCTGCTACCAATGCATAGTTCCCATTTACCTTAAACGGAAAGTGGAGATCCAATCTTCTTAACAGGCCTAGTGTAGTTCTTGTAAACCCAACTCGTCTGATTGGGCAACCCGGGGTCCAGTGATAGGACTTTCAATTTTTTGGAAATGTATGGGGTAGATTCTGTCGTGAAACCCGTACTATACAAAGAAAAATACTACTATAATACATGGACACCGTGATGTTGTACAAATCTCGACGCCGAAAAATCATAGGATATGCGATAACTCCAATGTGGGACTCCGTACTGTTCACTTCCGAGCAGCAGTTGGCGTCCATGGTTCTGGTTGCCAGGAATCACTCGGATTCCCAGCATTAGCCTTAGCCCAGGGATTCTTCTCTTCTGCGTGTCTCCGCACTTGCTCCGTCGTCGATTCTGTCCCCTCCGATTGTGTGGACGGCGCGTTCTCCTCGGGTCCTCGTAGTGTAGGATCGCTGGTGCGTAGTGCAGGCTCCGGTTGTTGGGTCTGGGGTTTATCGAGATAGGATGGTTTACTGGCCCAGCGTTCATCGGCCAAACGAGCCAGGTGCTTCATTTGAATTTGGCGCACGATGTCTTGTTGTTGTTCTTGGATGGATGGGGGATCGGCGCGAACGTATCGGAGCCATTGGTGCCATTGTGCTTGGGGATGCAATTGTCAGCTTCTTGCTTATATTGTGGATGGGAGGTAAGCAGGAGGCTTACGAGAGACTTTGATGTCCGCGTAATGGGTTTTGGGATTGTATCTGACGATGCGCCGTAATCGCGAAGCACTGAGTGTCTCTTTGAACTCCCAGTAGGTATTTCCGGACAGATCGGAGCCTGTTATAGCCATCTAGTCAGTCTGGTAAACTCTTGCCACTGCGCGAAGATAAAGAAACATACCGGCCAGGAAGGACCTTCGCCACGGCAATCGGAGGCCTTTCCACTTGAACCAGAGACTGTTTATCGGACTCATTATTGCCAGAGGGGTTATTTAAAGAAGAGATGCTAAGAAAAGATACCAATAGTAGTACTAGTCGTAAGCAGAGTCTTGTGTGGCTGAGGCGTCTCTCCGGAGATCAGCGTCCTTTTTTCTCCGACGGCCCAAACGTCATCAGCGACCGCCCGCATTCCTCCCCTGAGCACAAGCAGTACAAAGTAATACATTCTTGTACTTCGTACATATTTCGGGTCTCATTCATCGTCCTAGCAATCAGTTGTTAGGCTGCTCTTTTTACTCCTTATAAACTCGTCTTCTGGTTGTTTCTTCGTCTGAATCACTCAACTGTCATCCGCTGACCGGACCCCTTATCCGACCCATACTTCGAGCCACCCAAACAACAGTCGCCAACGAACCCCCGTATCTGCAGGAAGCCGTTTACATGCACTTAGTGTGATACATACACAATCGATATTGCGATACAGATATGGCGTCCGTTACCTCGTTGGACAAAGACTTGCGCAGTCTACGACTGTCCCGCTATACCCCGCAGGCAGCTGCCGAAGTGCGCGACTGGATCGAGGAGGTCCTTCAGGAACAGTTGGCCCCGGGTGACCTCTTGGATGCGCTCAAGGATGGTGTGGCGCTATGCAAGTATGTATCCTTGGAAACTATATTATGTTAATGAACTTGGCGCAAATCAGCAGCTAATGACATGAAGGTTGATCAACCTGGCCGTCTCGCCCGGCGTCAAGTTCAAGCAGTCATCGATGCCCTTCGTGCAGATGGAAAACATCTCCCACTTTCTTCGCGCTTGCCAGATTCCCCCACTAAGCCTCCCGCCGCACGATGTGTTCCTGACAGTCGACCTCTACGAAGGCAAAGACCCCGCGCAAGTCCTACAATGCATCATGTCCTTCAGTCGCAGGGCCAACGCCGTCCAGCCCAGCAAGTTTCGCCGTACCATCGGGCCACAAGTCAACAAAGGTAGCGGTTTGAGTCCGGATGTGACTGGTTCTAGTCAAAGACCCACCACCCCCTCGCGGTTCCGTGGAGCCAGCCCGAACTCAAGCGCACAGTCAACGCCCGCAAAGTTGTCAAATGTCAGTAGCTGGAGTAGAAAAACGGATGAGACGTCTACGGCGCCCGCTTGGAATATCCACCAGTATGGCTATATGGGTGGGGCGGACCAGGGAAATCAAGGGGTGGTCTTTGGTGGGCGGCGCCAGATCACCACTGCCGCTCCGGTTGTTCCCAGTCTTGTGGAAAAAGAGAAGCGCAGACATGAAGTGGAAGAAAGAGCACTCGTAGAAAAGCAAGATGCGGAACAGGCACGTCAGCGACAGCGAGAAGCTGAAGAGGAACAGGCCCGGCTGGAGGAGCAACGGAGATGGGACGAACATACAGCCCGCCTGAGGGAGCAGGAGCGCCTCCAGGTTGAAGAAGAGAAGAAACGATGGGACGAGGAGAAGCGACTATGGGAAGCGGAAGAACAGCGCCGTCTGAACGAGGAAAGGGAAGCGGAAGAAAAGTTCGAACAGGAAAGGCAGCGTAGGCGGAGCATGGCCGACAACCGACTAAATGGCCAGTTCCTGAGCCAGTATCAAGCCAGCCAGGCGAGCCCTGCCAAAGTAGTGCCGCCGCCATCGGCTGAATCCCAGGAAAGCCAACGCGTCAAGGAGCTTGAAAGGGAACTGCAACTTGCGCGCGAGCGAGAACTCAAGTATCAACACGAACGCGAGGATTTCAAGAAGAAGGAGGCCGAGCCTCCTCGTCCTCGACCGGTCCCTCCCAAGCCTAGTTATGATTTCTCGTCCCTCGAGCAAGAACGCCGGATGCTCCGCACCGAATGGAACAAAAACCAGGATGAGTTTTCTGCTCCACCAACACCCCCTCGCCCATTGCCCGACCCCACCCAAGCCCAGAAATCCCCCCAGACCTCCCCGCGTCCCCTCCCCGACCCCGTCGCATACACCAACGCCCGCGAGAACCGCGTCGACCGCTTCCTCGCCTCCAACAAACCCCCCGTCGCACCAAAACCCGCCAGCCACCGCCCAGCAGACTACAGCACGACCGCCGAAGTTGACGCCGAAAACAGCCGTCGCGAAGCCGCACAGCAGAATACCAAAGCCGGTGGCTGGGCATCCAAGTCCCTCTTGGAACGTGAGATGGAGCGCGAACGCGAGCGTCAGCGCGAGTGGGAGGATGGCCAGAAGGAGACCCAGGAAGCAGCGGCCAAGGGCCTTGCGGATCCGAGTCAGGGGTCTGGACCTGGGGGTGCTTGGAATGTCTTCCAGTATGGATATATGGGCGGTGATAATCAGAGTAGGGGTGGTCCGGGGTTGAGTGCCTGGGGTGCTAGACGGCAGATTATTGGGCCTAGGCCTCCGCCGTAAATATCTGTAGTCGCCTTTCGTTATGTTCGGTTTTTGTGGATTTATCCTTATTTTTCTGCTTTTATATTCCCACTTCGTTTTATCGATTTTTCTTGTTATAGACATTATACGATTCAAAATCATACCAAAATCAAAAAGATCAGTTTAGCAATGGGTATCTATTTAGTAAATGACTGCAACGAAATTATGTGCATGGTAGCAATGGGTTTTAAGGCTGGCCAGTATACCCCTTCTCATGAAGCCTGCACACTCGGAACCAACTCATTAATCATAAACAACAATCTCTCCCCACTCTCAAGCAACCAACACCACTCAATGTCCTCCACCTGCTTACTCGACTGGTTTCTTTTCACGTCTTGCGCCCTATCCGCTCTCGCCATAATTCCGTCCTCCACGGCCGTTCTCAGCTCCGGCGTGATCTTTAGCATTTCACTCTCCGCGAGCAACATAACAAGCGCCTCCAATGCAATCGCCATCTTCGTATTATCGACCACAGACGCCGTACTTGCTGCGTACGGGAGAAAGCACTGCTCTAGCTTTGCTTGGTTGAGGTACTCCTCTTCTGTTTCTGGGGCTGTGCTTTCGCGGAGTCGGAAGAGGAGGAATTCGCAGAGGGTTGTTTGCGCTGCCGCGGAGAAGTAGGGGAGGACGCGCGGGGAGATGAAGGATTGGTAGATTGGAAGGGGAAGGTGGCGGATGTTTTCGACGAAGAGGTGGTAGAGTTCTTCGAGAGTTGTAAAGGTTTCCGGGAGGGATTCGGAGACAGCGGAGAGGAGGTGCAGGAGGCGTTGGCGGAGAGCGAGGGAGGGGAGGCCGCCGAGGAGGGAGAGGGTGCCGTGGGAGTAGAGGGTGTTGTTTGTAGTTGCGGTGACTGTGGGTTGTTCTGCGGTTGTGTTTCTAGTTCCTCTTCGTGTGCGTTTGGGGCGTCTTTCTGTTGTTGTAGCCGTGTCATCTTTGCCGTCGCCTTCTTCCGACTCGTCGTCGTCTTTTGTTAGGTAGTCTCCGTATTGTTCTTCGTCGATGTTTACTTCTGCTTCCCTCTTCTTGATGTTCTCTTGGTCTCGCTTCAGCTGCTTCAACTCGTTTCGGAACACCTCGCGGAACTCATTGACCGAGCTCGAAGTCCCATCTGCGAAGATGGCCCTCAGAATCCTTCGATTCCGTCCATAGTTCCCACTATTCCCATCGATATACCGGAAGATAAGACTCTGCTGCAGAATACTCTGCCGCAACCGCTTCTGCTCATTCCCATTGCCAGCCCCAGGCACCTCCCGCTCAACCTGCCTCTTCCGCTCATTCCAATCATCCTCGAGAACCTCACACATAAACTGAAGCCAAACCTGCCACCTCTCCCACCGCTCCGGGTGCAAAACGGAACAATTAAACGCCCACCCCACCGCATGCCAGAAGTCTTCAGCCCGAGACCACACCGCAGACGACTGTCCCAGCTCCGTGTTCAGCAGTTTCCACTCATTCCTCGGCATTTCATTTCCAGATATTCCCTCATCCTCGCTGGCGCGCCGGCGTATACCTCCATGGCGGGAGGCTTCGAAATGGGTAAATGCGAACGCGATGTCAAATCTAGCAGTTATCGGTCCGACGAGAGTATTTGTTAATCGGAGAAGTCGGAGGGCCGCGCTGGGCGCTTCTTTTTCTTCGGAGCTTTTGGCGCGGGTGGTCGTGGAGGGATGGACGAGGAAGGTAGCTGCGACGGCGAGGAGGGGTGGTGATGGGACAAACACGGGACCGGAGGAGACGGTGCCAGAGGTAATAATGTTTAGGAGGAGGTTGAGGGCTTGGGTGTCTGTGTATGCAATGTTAACTAGATGCTTTCGCGTAGTCCGGGGTAGGGCAACGGACAGAGCTTCTCTTCGGAGAAAATCCCCGAATGTTGGACTAGTTCGAACGGGACGGCCTTTGAAGAACGGTAGGAAGGAGACTCCTCCCCATTCTCGACTGCCATGGCAGTGGATATGGCGTTATACGCGGGAATCGTTGGAGGTATGAAGTGGGATAGTGACGCGGTGTCGCGACGCTTTATCGATATCGCGCGTCAGGTCACGATTATCTTGCCTATTTGGTCAGCGTGCAGTGCAGTAACTAGTAGATTCTAGCGATAGCATTACATATATCGCTAGTATGGCTATTGAGAATTCCAGTAAAGCAGACGTAGAAATAACCTATCTTACCATAAACTTTTGGTGGACCGACTAAACCGCATTGAGCGACTTGTAATTTGTACGTATAATGCCCTAAATATGTCGATCATCATAAGCAAGGTGCTGTGGTCTAGTGGTATGACGTCGCGTTGTGGCCGCGCCAGCCCCGGTTCGATTCCGGGCAGCGCCATTCTTTTTCTGTTTCTTTTTTTTGCTCCCTTTGTTTTTGCATACTTTGCCATAAAACACAATTAAATTAGAAAATGGCAGGCTCATCTCGAGATCTTGCGTGCTCAGGCCTAAGTAGTAGTGTTCATCATGAAGCGTTGTGATTTTGGCCCTCTCTTGTTTTTGCCCTCGTTCAATGTTCTTCCGTACCTTGGTCCCAAATATATACTGTTTCGTTTATTCATTGCTTAATTGTAATACATGATGGAAATGGCACCGCTAGAACAGCCTTGTAAAAAGTGCTCTCACCTCCTTAGTATCCATTTCCTTCACCCGATTCGACTCCCACCACTTGATCTCGAGATAGTGCTTGACAACCTTGCTCTCCATCATAGCCTCAATATTCTCAAATTTTTCATCAAGAACATCCAAAGATTCATCCACTGTGGCCGGCATTCGTTCTGCCTTTTCCAAAACAGAAGCATTTTCTGTGAGAGCAGCATCCTGCCAAACCAACGGTTCCTCGTTCTGATAGCCCAGCAGACCAGCGCTGAAGATAGCAGCCAGAGAAAGATACATATTTTCAGTTGCATCGACGCATCGCACTTCCCAGTGACCAGGGTTGATTTTTCGAATAGCAGTTCCTCTGTGATGACTACCAAATGCGACAACATCGCCTGCTAACGTTGGCTTGACGCGAGCATAAGATACTGGATAGGGCAGGGTAAAGGCGCACAGTGCGGGAAGTCGACCCAGAATACCCGCCAGGAAGTTATCTTCGTTAATCGGGGGGTTGATGGAGATATGCGTGTGCTGCCCTGTTCCCTGTCCCTCTCTGGCGATTGATACTGGGGACATATTGGCGATTAGGCCATGGCGAGTGAGGACTCGTTTCAGTGTGTCGTGGACCAGTACTAATTGGTCAACAGCCTGTAGAGGCTGTAATGGCCCGAGAGTAATCTCGTACTGGCCTACGCCTCCTTCGCTGTGAACCTCTTGAATGTTCACACCAGAATCCAACAGTTCCTGCACGGCTTCTTCAACGTACTGGAAGCTGGGGTCTCGCAGTCCGTCCACGGCATACCGACCGAATCCAGCACTAACCGGGACGACCTTACTGGTCGACGAGTCGAGCCTGACAATTTCGAATTCAACCTCGAACCCGACCAGGAAATGCACACCGTGTTTCTCGGATGCCTTGCGGATCACATTTGCCAGCGCCCTGCGAGGACAAAGACTGCTGCTCGGAGTGGGATGCTCAATAGAACTACCAACAACACCGCACATCACAGTCGCATATGCAGGCCCTGGTGCATTCTCATTGATGATTTTCAGAGACGACCAATCTGCAACCAAGCAATGCATGCCTCTGAGATCCAGCCATGGGATGAAACTATTGTCCACCGCGCAGTGCAAGCCGACGGGCGACAACCGGATGTGCTTCTTGGTTGTTGCTAGTTGCAGAGCATATTCATTTTGGGGCTATACGGCCTCATAATAGTCCGGAGAGATCCTGCCATTGGAAGCGGACGAAGCGGACTTGGGGCTTTAGCTGTTGGAGGTTTTGGAGGGTTTTCAAGGCGATGTCGGAGGTCGCATTTTTGTCCATGAAGGGGGTGGAAATATATGTTTGAACCATTGTGTAGATAATGCGTAACTATAATATGAAGCGTCTATATCCAGATCCCGAAGATGAAATACTTAGCCTACTTGTAGTTTCTTAAGGAAATGATAATCGTTTATGACCAGCTGAAAGTATTAATTACATATAGAATATAAGGACCTGTGGAATTGACGCCGAAAATGACCGCTTTTGAGGCCAGAAACGGCCGCCTTTCCACCCGTAACTTTGGATGGCGAGCCGCTGCTTGACACACTATTCTGCACCCACCCAGAGTTGTTAGTCATCCTCCACTTCTGATGTTGGCCAAGAACCCCATCATACCACCCGTCAGTCCCGTCATGGCGCCTGTCACTCGCCATTCAGCCAGAGACCGCACCCCAGGCACGCCCCAACAACGGGACAACATCCTGACCAATGGCATCGCCAAACCGGCGGGAATTCGCAAACGACTGAAGCCAGATAAGCCAGATAAACAGAAGGCAGCCCTAGTAGAGAACC